AGCTTACACATTTCTACATCTTTAGATGCAATAAACCGGTTTAGACAATTTGATCTTTGCCAAAGGAAAGTGTCACTTGTATCGGGAATTGATAAATAAATAATAATAATAATGATGATAAAATGAAATAAATAAATAATGACACAAACAGACAGAAGGAAGCACTGATGTAACGCGAGAAATAGGACACCGAGGTACGTATTGTGAAAACGATATTCCTGGAAGCGACATGTGCCTCCTTATTTGCGTCTGTGCAGAGCAACATTACGGTATACGAACAGCATCACGTGCAATTCAGACACGAAGAAGGAGGTTCGCGCGAGTAATTAACGACGACCGTGCAGACGTCTGACCGTTGTAGGTGGGTAAGATCAAATCGCGGCTGCAATATGAATTCGCTGTTAATGGGGCTAAACGGGTCAAGAACGCTTTGTCGTGCGGTGATGAACGATAATAGCTGATAAATAACTGGTTAATATTACGTGTTACCTGCTGATTAATATTTCGCGTTACTTACTAACGCGCCTATAAAGCTCGATTTTTGCGCGCGCCAGATGATAACGAAATTGGTCTGTGCCACTGAAAAAATTACTATCGATCGGCGATGCTTGCGCGATGGTTCAGAATCGATCAAGTATAATATATTATAGCTTCATAAAGTATCATACTGATCGATAAAAGTTATTTTGTTTTATTTATTGATTTTACACTGATAAAAAAACGAGCAAATTTTCTTGATTAAATAATGAAAATATTTAATAATTATAAATTAAAATTATATACCGATAAGAATATAAAAATTAAATAATAAAACGGATATGCCCTATTTTTAGTCGAAGCAAATTTTGGTGTTTAATCAAATTTATATGCAAATTTGCAAATACATTTTTAGTTCTATATATTTTAATAATAACGCTATTATTAGCATTATTATTAAAAACTGACTATCAATGTAACTTGTGATGTTATTTCATGATTTCAATTTTCGATTTGTTCCAAATTCGATAAACCAATTCTGTACGCAGTTTATGGAACTGAAAAATGTATTTGCAAATTTGCATATGAATGCTGTTGAGCACCAAGATTCGCTTCGACCGAAAATAGGATTGTTTTTCTTATTTGAAAATATCTAATATATCACAAAGCCAAGTTTATTTTTAATTAAAACAAAGTTATTTTTACATAATCGGCTAATAATTATAATCGAACGTATATTTCGAAGACAATCAATCAAATAAAATCAATATACAAAAGGGGAAGACACTGTTCTTCTCATAAGTTATAAGCTAACCCGACCTTTGGTGAAGGGAATTTATGAGATGCCAGAGAAGAGAAAGAGGCAGCTAATAAAAATATACAATCTGTGATCTTCCCTACGGCAAAGGGATTTTAAATTGACTCCATTTTCAAGGCTGACTTTAAAGTAGCTTATTGATTTGGAGGTCCTAGAAGCCATGTATCTTAACCTTGGTAACCTTAGAAATACTCCTGGAGTCGCGCCAGTCTCCGGAATCAGCCGGTTAAGCGAACTGTCTGTCTCCGTCAGTGTGTCAACTCTACTTACATTAATTAGTATTCAGATCTCATCGGTCTTATTCGCCGGTTGTTCGACTATAAGTGTTTGTATTATTGTAACTTAACATTCTAGCAATTTTAGCTCGTTGGAGTCTCGTGCCATGGTCAACGCGCGAGAGGCCCAAAACGAAAATAGTGGAGAACTTTCAACGCGCTATTTCAAGTGCATCGAAATTAAACAGCTGTTGCGATGCATGCCAACGAAGTTACGCAGCAAAACGTTAGTTATCTAATAATGCGTCCGGTGATTTGATTCTCCCGTTATCGCAAAATATATCAAATCTGCGAATGATGTAACTTTGGACCGCATCCAGAATTCGTGAGTTTAGTTCTCGAGTAGATGAGCCGCGCATGAAGGCGATTCGCATTTCACTTTATAGAACTTATTATCGATTAATTTCTGTTATTTCTTCCGTTGTTCCTCCTGGAGACCTAGTAGCTGACCTTCAAGTAGAACTTTCAGCTCTCATTTGTCTCAAATTTAGTATTTATTTCGAGAGTCACAGAAAACTCATTATTTTACCGTCATTAATTTTAAAAATAATTATGTGTAACGCTTAAGTTGATTACTTTTGGCAAGATTGTTATCATGTTTGAGTTTTTTACATTATTATATTGACAGCTCAACAAAATTATTTTTAGATCTATATCTAGCTATATTATAAAATACTTTGACAAAATGTTCTCTTCGTATAAGCTACGTTCTTTTTTATTCCTGCATTAGATTGCACCAAACTTTCCTTCTCATTTTCAACAAATCAAACATATACATACCTATTTCATTTGAAGTTCCAAAGGTGTGTGTATACTAGTTCACAGCTGTAGAAAACAAATCTTATATCTCTTCATGTTTATTTATCATATTAGCGTTCAAACGATTAGAAATACATAGAAAGGATAGTTTTGCTAAAACATCTAAATTTTATTTAAAAACTTAGATATATGATAGCTGCTCTAAAAATAATTCGATTAGATCATCAAAATAATTATATAGGACGCTCAAACTGTGTATAATATAGTTACTAAAATATAAATTTTTTTTTATAGTATTGCTCATCATGCTTGAAATGCCTATATGAAATTATTTTGATGGCCCAATAAAATTATTTTCGTTTCTTACCAAATTTTTCAGCAAAATCTTTCGTATAAATTCTTTTCATGTGTCAGACGAGCGAACATAGGCACCGCACGTTTGCGCGGGAGAGAGATTTCAAAATGCAAATTCAATTCTCTGAGATTCCACACGCAGATATCGGTGATTTATAAATTCGCCAAACAAAACCGTATCAAGTCTCCTCTTCTCCAATTTACTTATTTTTTTTATAACTCGGGGGTCGGTGATACATCTCGGGGTTGTTCGTCGGCCGCAAGCTCGTTTAATTTGGACTCAGTTTTTAATTATCATTCCTTCGTCCGAGCATGTCCTTATTGTGACCTTCGTAGGGCGCGACGCTGATGTTATGGGTCAGCTGTCTCGTAGACGCACCGTTGCGCCCATTATTCTTTCATTCAACTCGCTGGTTCTTAACTAGAGTTTTACGATCTTCCGTTTAGTCTTTACACCAATTGATATTATTTGCTCTTCTTGCCGGACAAAGGGGACGGAGTCACAGATCTGGAGATCACGAGGCTCCCTGATAATTTTCATTTTTTTTTTTTATTTAAATTTGTTATTTGTGGGTAAATTACTGTTTATTGCGTCGATGGCGCGAAGATGACTTGAGGACACTTTGTGGCGTGTCGGGGAAAGACGGGTCAAACGGACGACCCACTTATGTGTTCCCGAGCGACGACAGATTATTTGCATTAATTGCCCGCTTCTCTATGAAAGCGCTCGTCTCCGCGAAGAATACGCGCGATCGGGGACACTCGAGAAATCCTTCGTCCATACGCGCACAGAAGCAAGCTGCCGATGCAGTTCTCGGAAGCATGTAGAATGAGGAGCACATTGGAGTACGCATCGTTGAGTAAAATAATTTTGCGCTTCATGTATTATAAGAATGTTATACGGATTATGTAGATTCGCGAATCCTCCGCGTCCTGTGATTCTTCGACTAATTTTCAATCAATTTTTCTATAATTTTAAGAATACAAAAAGAATGAATATTGCTGAAGTTTTTTTTAAAAATTTAGCTAGATACAGATCTAAGAATAATTTTGTTGGACCATTAAAATAATATTTATACGTAAAAAACTTACTCTCTAAAACTTTTAGAGTGAAGTGTCACGTTGAAGAGTAAAACCTCACTCTTGAAGATTGAAAATTGAGCTACTCTTTTTAAATACTTGCTTTTATATGATTATTTTTATTCAATAAAATTACTTTCAGATTTGTATCTAGTTAAATTTTTAGATATTTCAAAACCATCTATTCCGTAAAAGACAGAGTTTGTTTAATGAGATGTGAAAGTCGAAAGAGATGAGTCGAAGTCAAAAGCAATTAAGCTTTATTCGCTAACGCGTAAATATTGTGCCTATTTCTTTTTACGAAAAATGTTTATTTCTAAAGAATGTGTAATTTTACTACGTATATTGTGTGTGTGCATTTGGATCTTACAGAGAAGTGAATGTGCGTATTTAAATTTAATTAAGCACCATTGGCTGGAAAATCGGTATCGTTACGCAAGCACGTGTGTCTGTCCGAACTCAGGAAGCTAAAATCACAATCCTCGTTCCAGTCTGGTAAATTTCATTAATATTATAATGCAGCTGATTCGGGTGACACTCGATTGTTTCAGAGTTACGTGATCCGTAATAGATGATGATGCATGGACCGATCGTGTAGGCAACAGATGTTAGACTCATTGCTGCGATGAAAACGGTTGAATCGCCGTCAACAAACAAATTGTTTCAATCTAATCGTAAATTATTAAATTTCTCGATGTATATATATATATATATATATATATATATGTATATTTGCCTTATTGGCAGAGATTGATTGTAAAGAGAATAGAGTTACATTTTTTTATTGTTATAATAAAAATTAATTCAGCTTTGAGATGTTATTTTTAACTAATTATTTTTCAATTAGTTTTGATTACACAATTTTTAATAAAGTAAATATAAAATTAATAAAAAAGATAATAAGTATCCAAAGGTTAAACATTGTAGAAGTCATGAAAGAGAGAAGATACAAATAATCTTATAAATATCGTCTAAATTAAATTCTCGCAACTTCGTATGTCGACTTCTAAGGTTTGTTCTTTATTGCTGCATTAGAGTAGACTGGAACGTTTCTCTTCCCTTTCGTGGAACTTCAAACATATTTCTATTTCACATTTTAAATATAAAGAGTATTAATATACTAAGTTTAGCTATAAAAAATAGACTTTTAAAGTAAAAGTTATAAAAAACTATAAATTTTTATAGTTATAAAATCTATGAAAAAGCTATAAAAAGATATAGCTGTAAAAACAGATTTTTGAACTAAAAGAATTAGAAGTTAAAGAGAGAGATTGTGAACGGTTTGTCGGGTAGAATGTTATGCGTGAAAACGCGTTGCACAAGTCTAGAAAGACTTCCATCATTCTCTCTAGAATGTTTCATGACGAATCATGCGGCATTTAAGCTGCCAACACCTTGAAGTTGTTCCAAAGCAGACGGGATGACGCGGCCAGCCCCAACATTGCAAACTCTTGGCAGCGTTATTGTTGTCAATTGCCAGTTGTTACCGAACCCTACATACCGCTTGAGCACACCTGGTTATGTGACACTGGTGTGTCTCTCGAAGTTGCGCGAAGTTAGCGAAAGTTTGAGAAAAGTTTCATTAGAGTAAATTAAAATATTTAAAATTAAATAAAAGTACATCGTGAAATTAAAACACAATACATAAAAATATAAATAAATGTTTAAAAAAACATAAAAAAAATTAGTAAAGGTACCCATTATAAAATATAATATATAATCCTTTCAGGATGTGGACCGCACACTGCCAAAATTTAGTATTCATCGCCTTTGTGTTCTTACCCTCTGTCGTGAGAGGTATTCCGGATTATTCTGGACTGCCACCGGGACCGTATTGTGCCGCGAGGTATCCTGAAGGCAGTTGCTGCCCAGGACGACAGGATGAGTGTAGCGCGCCGATCCTCAAAACGTTGTGCTACTGCGACGATTTTTGCAACCGAACTCGTGAAGAGGACTGCTGTCCAGATTACTGGTATCACTGCAGAGGGCTGCCGTCGACCACGTCAGCACCCGAGGAAATAAGAAGTTCGTATATCTATTTAAACGTGCATTTATGTAATCTACTATAATAATTTGATGTATTTGAAGAAAATAAGTCCCAAATATATGAATAATTGAAATTGTTAACTTTTATTATTGATATATTAAGTTTGTATTTTCTAAGTCTCGTGTGTTAATCCAGGATGCTTTTTCCATGGAAGGGAGTACAATCACGGGCAAACGTTAAAAGTTAATTGTAACACATGGTAATATATTTGCTTTTTAATGTAATAAATGAGAAAAAAAATATGCGTGCTAATTCTGTAAGTTTTATTTGCAGTAAATGCTCCTCGCTTGGTAAGCGCGCCGAAGTGCTCTGCGAGGAGAATCGATGTTTGATCGAGCCGGAATTAATGGAGGAACTTAATTTACAAGGGCATACCCTAGGTTGGCAAGCAGGCAATTATTCCGAATTCTGGGGAAGAACACTTCGGGAAGGTGTGGAGCTTCGTCTGGGCACTCTCAATCCCTCACAATCCGTAGGTGTTTTAGAGTTGTTATCGAGATTGAGTTTAAATAATTAAAAGTCTTTCCATAAATTATTGCATAAAACATTTACGGGATACTTCCTTCGACAATGAATCTTTGTAACGCCTTGATCACAGCAGAATACGTCTAAGAGCGGCAATCAATTATTCAAGAAGACAAATTTAAAAATTGCTGTAGGTACGAACAGTTTTTATACAGCGGACTTGTGCACGAAACTCTCTTTATACTCGATGAATTCAAAATAAGGCAACCTTAACACGTAACTGTCGCAATACCTGCATGTAAGATTAGGTCAATTGCTTGGCTTGCGCGATCAAAGTTAAAATTCTAATGGGTAAAGTAATCTTTTGTACTTCGCTGCGGGGCTCTTATGAATAAGAATGACGTTGCAGCGTCTTTTAGTCCTCCAAAATATCTGAACTCATTGCCCGAGGACGCGAATATCTTTTCCCCGATCATAAATGAAATCCGTCAATGTATAATATGTAGGTGAATGGAACACGCGAGGCCCCAGGGCCATTTCATTTAAAGCTCGCTTAATTTATACACAATCTTGATCACAGATTTTATTTTATACATTAACTACAAGTATAAAATGAATCACTTTCATTTGACAATAGATTGGCTTGAAGAATTAAAGAGATTTTTAATTATTATTTGATTCAATGTTGTGTCTATAAATACATTTCGTTCTATGATGCACTGCTTTCTTTTGCATAGGTGTACAAAATGATCCCGGTGCGACGCATTTACGACCCGGATGCACTACCACGGGAGTTTGACTCCAGGACGCGCTGGTCACGCGACATATCTGGCGTCCACGATCAAGGATGGTGCGGTGCGTCCTGGGCCATATCCACAGCCAACGTTGCGACTGACAGGTTCTCGATCATGAGCAAAGGTGCTGAGGACGCAGAGCTGAGTGCCCAACATCTGCTCTCTTGCAACAACAGAGGACAACAAGGCTGCAGAGGCGGTTATCTTGATCGCGCTTGGCTCTTCATGAGAAAATTCGGGTACTTTTTTTATAATTTTATGGTGAATTCAATCACTTGCATTACTGGCTCAGTTTTGCATTAAAGGCTGCTTTTATATATATATAAGATATCTAAGAAAAAATGTAATGGCGTAATATTCATAATGAACTTTTCAATGAAACAATACATGTACACTGTATTAAATAATATAATTATGTCATTTAGTCATTTAAAATATTTATGCTTTTACATTTAACGTTGTCATTTCATGTATAATAACTTTCAATATGCATTGTAATGCAAGTGACTGAATTTGCTGAGATTCTCTTTTAAATGTCAAACAATATTTTTAATTGTACACACAATCTTGATCATAGATTTTATTATTTTATGTACTAACTATAAGTATACATATATGTATAAAATAAATCATTTTGATTCAACATTTTGATTAATTTAAAGAGATTAAAGAAATCCTTAATATATTACTATTTTATGTTACGTCTAAAAAGGCGCTTTAATATATAACGTACAATAGTGAGTTTCTGTTCAAACACGTGATTTTTTTTAATATCATTAATCCTCCTGTCACAGATTGGTGGACAAGGAGTGTTATCCTTGGATCGGTAAGAACGAGCGATGCAAACTACGTAAAAGAAGCAACCTAAAGGCCGCCGGTTGTCGAAAGCCACCAAATCCACTGAGAACAGAATTATACAAGGTCGGGCCGGCTTACCGCCTGGGCAACGAAACTGACATTATGCAGGAGATCCTGACCTCTGGACCAGTACAAGGTAGCCGCTACAACTCATTGTCGGATGGTCACTTAATTAATTGAAATTTTTTAATCGCAAGGAGAATCAAAATAATGTCAATGTGACATCATATTGGCCGATTACTGATACAATTTATGTCATTCTTTTTTTATTCATAACTCAGTCAGTATGGCATTATTTTAATTTTCTTGTTTTCCTTTATAGGATGCATCAACATTTAAAGTCGTTATGTTCCGCTAAAGGAGGCATAATATTGCGACATTAAGAGAATATTATTTAAAGTAATGTCTTTTTTTTACAGCTACCATGAGAGTTTACCAAGACTTCTTCGTTTACAAAAGCGGCGTATATAGGCACTCTCAAAGTGCGGAATTACACGATTCCGGTTATCACTCGGTGAGAATAATCGGTTGGGGCGAGGAGAGGTCTTATCGCGGTCCACCGCTCAAATATTGGGTAAGTTTACACGATATCACACTCATATCACATGATAACATTTGTAACGGTCTAAAAAAGAAAAGAAAAGGTTCAAAAAGTGGCACACAAGTGTATATCATTTTTTTATACGTGTGATCATTGAATACCATAAAAATATCTGAACGTTTGGAAAGTTGGAAATAATTTAAGAACAATTAACTCCGCTAGGAATAATTAGATAAATCGACTTTGAACGGCTAATCATTTCTGGTTAGAACGTGTTGCAAATTATTGCGATGTAAAATGATAAATAATTTAAATTTAATTTTTTTTCAGCTGGTTGTAAACTCTTGGGGGTACAACTGGGGAGAAAACGGGCTCTTTAAGATCCAAAAGGGAACGAACGAATGCGAGATCGAGTCGTACGTGCTGGCGGTATGGGCCAAGACGACATAAAAGAAAAAAAGAAACAAGGAAAATGCCAAAGTACTAGAATATCCGATTGTCATAACACTGTTGGTGCATTTATTGAATCTCCGTCGTCGGTTCGTCGTCATGCGCAATGATGCGATTGCCATCGGGGACAATGAACGATACATCAATGTTCGAAAGTATGTGATCCAATTACCTGATCCGTATATTGCCTTATTACACGTTGGATCGGGAGGAAAGGAGACAGAAACGAAAGGAGGACAGAGTTGTTTATATTTAATATAAGTATATGTGGATAGTCGAAAAAATGTCATCGTTATTTTCTGATTATTCGTAGATAATAATAATCGTTTGACATAGAAACGCGTTCACCGTTACGCGTCGATGATCGATATGCTGTAGTAAAAGTTATGTCTTTTTCACGTGATATCATCCACGTGTTGCGGTGACTTCGATGTGTAAGAAGTACTAAGTGCCAAGCGCTTGAAATAAATTTTTTAAGTACGTAATAGTCTCTTTTTTCACTTCGTTAAACGATACAATACTTCTACTTGCGGAGTCAAACACTTGCGTTTAATTGCGTTTTTTTTTTATTTAATCAGTTAAACCTCTTTGTGTTCTATTTTTAGAATTAGACACACGTACGTAATGTGTAAGGAATACTTGTCACGGAAAAACAGATTCGTTAAAACAACTAAAAATTTTATTGATTCAGCAAATCTATAATCGTAGTATTATATATGTATATGGACAGTCAGTTTTATGTGTTAAAATAGCAAAATTATACCGCTGAATAAAATGGTGATTATAGGTAATCACATTAGTTATAATAAAATAGTACTCTTAATACCGCAAAAATGATTTTTTATAAAAGTCAATCTAATATACATATATGTAAGATAAAATTTTTTAATAAAACATGCTAAAATAGCGTTTACTTTTGTAAATGTAATAAAGAAAACTTGTTCCATTATAAATGAAAATTATCATATATAGTAAACAATAATAAAAATGAATTTCTATATTTATTAATAACCCATATTTTCACTAAAAAGCACTTGCATACATAAAAATAACAGAAAAATCGCACTGTTCCTAATATTTTGGCAACTTATTGTAATTACTTGCAAATATAATTTCTTCGTTGAACCACCAAATCTTTCTTTCATTATAAGAGTTGATCGTGCAGCAAACTATAGTTTTGCTGAACCACCCAATCTATTCTTTCCGTGATGATGTTCCCATAAGGTATAAATGGCAGTGTAACAGTGTATTAGGATGTGATACCACTAATTATGTTCTTAACAGATTATCGAGCTTTTTGTACATACTTGTGCAAGATGGACAATATAATTTCCTTCAATTCTTTCCTATCGAGTTCTTTTTGTAATTGACTAAAATAAATTTGTATCAAACATGTACAGCATATGACACATAGTATTAGGCACTCAAGGGACGATTGTGCACGTTTTGCATCACTAATTAAGAGGAACTTTTCTTACAATGATTTCATCGTTAGACTACGACGCTTCGCCTGTTGCTCTTGCAATGGGGACTATACACCTCTAATTTGTCCCGTGGTGTGTTCATTGCGGAATAATCGATGGGGAATGGTATGGTATTACCACGAATTATGCAAGCATCCGTCATACCCAGGAAATGCTCTCCCGGTCCAAACGGGCCGCGGCCAAACAGGAAATTGGCAAATACTAATTGATATTGTGCCCAGCCAAGAGGATGATCTCCGTTCTGAAACGAAATTTTTTTTATCGTTATTAATAAATTTTATTGATTAAGGATTAATTGCTTTTATAAAGAAGTATTATAATAAAAATTTAATAAAGAATTATAAAATAATTTTTAATGTACTTTTTGTAATAATGCTTTTAGTCTAGGTTCACAATCTTACCTTAAGAAATCGAAAAACATCAAGCTAGTAAGAAATTGACCGATCATAATCGATTATTTTTCTCATATTCAACTGTGATTGATCAATTTCTTACAGCTTTATAGTTTACGGCCTTTTAAAACAAGGTTGCGGATCTAGATGAAAGCAAGGTTGTGGATCTATAGATTAATAGTTTATTGTAGACTGTGTATAAGATTTTTTACATCCTAAAGTTATAACTTTTCTTAATCCTCTAAATTGTAATCTATTTTTATTCCTTTAAGCTCTCGTTATCAAAAATTCAAAAAAATATATTTGCTTGATCCAGATAAAAAATTTAGTCGCATCAAATTACAATTTTAATTCCTTACGAAATTATTTCAAAAATCTAACTAACCGAAGTCATAGAATTGTATGCAATATCCAGGCATTTGTTTATCCTGTCGGTGTCCAAGCCGACCACGGAACCATAAAAGGCCGCGAGTTCCCTCTTACTGATCATCCCGCTTCCAGAGCTATTTATGGCGAGGAAAAACACTCTGGGCATTACTTTGATCCAAAACGGCATATCGTTATAACTAGCACCGTCCGGCGGTGCGATGATCTGCGCCCACCAGGATAACCAGACGTCGAGATCGATCTTTTTATCTGGCTCCGCGGGCCCTTTTTTATCCTGAAGGATCAATCCGGCAAATCCATTTTCAATCTCTAGGAGCCTTAGATACTCTGGACCGTTCCATGACCAGTCAGCAAATCTTCTCAAACGCTTTCCGAAAAAAAATTATTTTTTTGTATAAATGTTGCGACAATTATCGGTTTTATTTTTAGATGTAATTATAGATTTAAAATAAAAAAATTTTTTTTTATATCGGTTCTTATGTACAATTGTAGTGCGTTATTTTACTAAAGACTTCTATTCTTTTTTTCATAGAAATATAGAAGAGAAAGTATTAAGAGGCTGCATTAAAAGCCGCTGTTGAACCCGAATGAAACAATCACCGCCGAGCGTTATCGATAACAATTGGAGCGTTTAAATGATAATTTGATGCAAAAACGATCATTAGTTGCATCAAATCGTCGAAAGATAATTCTTCTCCTGATCATATCCATGATAACGCTCGGCCCCATGTTGCTATAGTTGTGAAATAAACATTGATGGATCTCAAATAGGAGGTTCTTCCGCATCCAGCGTATCTCTGGACTTGACACCAAGCGATTATCGTCTGTCCGATTGATGCAATACGCTCTAGGTCTAGAAGATACACACTTCCGTAATTATAGCGAAGTCAAAAATCGGGTTGCTGAATGGACTGAATGGTTGCTAAATGGGTTGCTCAAAAGACAGATTATTCTTTCGTCGCGGAATGCAACTTCTACCAGAAAAGTGGCAAAAAGTTATAGCTTCCGAAAGAAAATACTTTAATATTGAGGTATTCATATATTTTGTTATTTTTGTTATTGAAATTAATGCTCAAATACAAAAAAAACAGCGGCTTTTAATGCAACCCCTTAATATTAAAAAACTGAGTTTTTTAAAAATATTATACTCTTATTTTTTAAAAACGAATAAAAAATCAAATTTTTAAAAGCAGAGTCTACCTCGGAAAGTAATGAAAAATCCTTCCTGTTGATGTAACCATCTCTATCGTGGTCTAAGAGATACGTAAAAAAGTGAGTGAATTTATCACGTTGAATGGGGGCTAAGGTCTCTGAGCCTCCACTTTTACTGAATTCAATGGCAGACAAGCTGTCGTCACTCGGAAAGCGGCTCACCCAGGTCGCTATAGATCATGATAGTTAATTGTATAATTAATTTTAATTTTGATTATTTAATCCTCATTGACGTAAGAATACAATGATAATAAATTAATTAATAATTAAAATACAATATTATTAGTAAATAAATCAATTAGATATATATATTAATAATAATAATTTTCTAGTAATTTAGTAAAACGCATTCAATCGAGCAAGAAAATATAAACATTGTGTGCTGCGAGCTTTACTTTTTACCCTGTCCTAACTTTTAAAATTAGAAAAATATAAATAAAAGTAAGTTAAACTAAAATTAATCTACGTTAGTAAAAATAAGACCTGTTCTTTTTAGTTGAACTTTTTGCACGGCTCATCTTTTCTCTTTTTCTCTCGTGGAAAAAAAAGGAAGAAAGATGAACTGTGCAAGAACTTTAGCTGAAAATAACAGATCTATGGAGTAACGATTAAAATTAACAAATTAAGACTCATTCCAGACTCACTCCAGACGTGCACGCTCCAACTGGGCTGTTCCAGTCCGGGGGCGACGACAGGTGCGACGGCGAGCTCGTCAACGTTGCTGCTGGTCGTTCTCCATCTTTTCAGAAGGTCCTTGGTCCGATCTCGCGTACGATCGCACGCCTGTCGCCAGTTGGTGATGAATTTGCGCGGTACCTTGAGCGCATTGTTGTCGTCCAGGCTGATCTCCTGGCTGCCAAGCGAGCTGCGTTGACTCTTGTCTTGTTCGCCACCACCACTCGACGTACCGTCATTTTCCGGATAGTACATTGGGTCCTTTATGCTACCTGAGCGACTCTCCATGATGGACTACTTAGTCGGACGTTATGTCTAACTAACGTTACGTACATTTCAAAGGGGGGATTCACTCTCTCACCTAAAAATAATCAATTCCACCAGTCGCAGAGGTCACCGGGTCGCTCGATATTGCGACCGCGCCGTTTCGTCGCCGCGGAATCTTCCGTGGAGGGTGTAAACAGGTGTAAAAGTAAATGTGTAAACGCATAAATTTTTATCGCACAATAATACTTATATAGTTCTCATATATAATTTATTTATTTATTTATTTTCAATGTATGTATACATCGAATAAACGTATATTTTATTCGAATTAATAATTGGTCGATCGATATGTCAAATAGATGTTGATCGACGCTAAATCAATATCAATTTGACGTTGATTGATCAATTATTTCTGGCTGAGATACTTTCTGTTTTATTTAGAGTTGTAAAAAAGATGAAAATTATTGCTATTAAAAAAATTAAAATGCTATTATAGAGATACAATGGCTGCTCTTTGCTAGAAAGAAAATTAAACGAATCGAATAAAATCGAAATTACCATCAATTAAATGTATCAGAAATTGTGAGAGATATAAAAAAAATGGACTTAATAAAATTAAAACTCCTATAAATATTTTTAAAAGACAAAAAATAATAACAGTTTGAATGGACTCTTGAAATTCAAACATAACTTATTTATTATAAGTTTTTATATAAAGGGCAAATGAGAGTAAATAACAATCAATGAAATTTGGGTGGACTTGCATGTTTTTGACTGACCAGAGGATTTTTTGAAATGACCATTGCTTAAATCAATTTTGCTGTATGCTGAAGATGACTGGAAGTCGAAACGTCCGGAACTTGGAATAGTTTTTTGAACATTAAATTATTGTAACGCACTTAGAACTGCGGTGATTTTGTTATTTACTCTTATTTGCCCTTTATACAAATAAGTTGTGTTTTTAAAAGACATTCGATGTAAAATTTATATGTATATAAACTAAGTTGTTTATAAATAATAAGTTAATGAATTCAATAATTGATAATCAATTATAAGCATATATTTTATGCCATTTGAAATTCAGGATGCATCGGATATTTAAAATAGATACCTGCAGTATCGGTCCTTTTTTTATTATCCGACCATAATAGCCGCTTATCGTTAATATCCAGCAATACATCTGGTAAAAATTTTATGTTGAAAGTTTGCATTATTGATGCAGAATTCTATTCTTTTCAACTGAACTTTTTTTTGTCCAGTTTTATGTGGTTTTTTCATTGTACAGCGGTTTGTGTTGATGATCAAAATAAATTTGTCACTGAAAAATACTAAAATGTTATTGTTCATAAAAAATTAATAAATTAATAATATAATTGAATTATAGACTCTTAAATGTTTCAAAAACAATACAAAAAATTTAAGTAAATACAAAGGCTATTAAGAGTCAACGCTGTTAGCAGTGCGTAAAAATATAATCTTAAAATCTATAACATAGATATTATGTCGAACGTTTCGATCCTTCGTTTTGGATCATCATCAGCGACAATACAATATAAATTAAAAATTACTCAGAGTTGCAAACAATGATATTGTCCCGCAGTATGTAATATATACAACCAATCTGAGGCAAGACTATCACTTCTTCACGTGAAAGTATGTACATTAGTTCGAATAATTGAGTATGTCTGTGAATTATATAATCAAGAATTATAAATTACATTAAAAAATTTTTTTTAAAAATTATAAAATTTGATAAAACAGTAAAAATTAAATACTCAATAAGCTTACCTCAAGTTGATCGACAAAAGACATTATTGTTCATGTCAAATTTATTAATATTAAATTTTGATTATACGTTGAAACTGTATTGAAAAAATTCTACAGTTCTACAGATAATTATTTATTATCGCTATTTTTTTCTCGCATTTTCTTTTTTTCAAGAATTTTGGGGAATTTGTATCAAATATTCGGTGTCACAATTCTTTTTGGATATCCAGGATCTGTTTTTTGTTCCTGCACTGTCTGAACATATATCTATAAATGATAATTTATTTTTAAATAACGATTTATTTTTATACAAATTAAAGAATATGAAAAAAATATGTATAATATATAGATATTTCGTATTCTGCTATCTTTTTTGTTCCGGATATCGACGGATGCTTGTTTTAGCGATTCTCGTCCCGCATCTCAGAGGTCTCTGAGCGTGACGTGGGAACGCGCCATCTTAATTAAGTGAGAGAGTGGCTCCCTCAGCAAGAAAGAGCTGATCCTTTCCTTCCGTTATATTTCGCGTGGGGTGAGTGATATGTGGTGTAAATCGTATTTTATTATAACCATCCTTGATTTTATTAGCGTCGGAATATGGGCAGATTGTTCATCAAACTTCCTAATTCGGAAGTCTCTCATATTTTTCATAGACCTTCTCATTGATCTATCGTAGTCATCGCGATGGAAACGCTAACCTCGAGGATACCTGCCGCACTCATGCTCCACGTTTCTCTCCTTTGAATAAACTTCGCGAAGCGAATCTCCGACGAAAATAACGATTTAAATGCATACACTTTTATTAGAAAAAGAAGGAATTGTTTATAAGAAATTTTTATACAAATCATAAATAATAATATTGTTTAATCATCTTATTTATTACTTGTATCTAGGGATCCGCGATGGGTGCATATAAGTATATGCAGGAGCTATATCGCAAGAAGCAAAGCGATGTGCTCCGCTTCTTGCTGCGCATCAGATGCTGGCAGTACCGCCAGTTAACAAAGATGCACCGTGCTCCTAGACCATCTAGACCAGACAAGGCCCGTCGTTTGGGTTACAAAGCCAAGCAAGGTATGCATTACCTCTGCCAGATAGAAAACATGCCCATAGAAAAATATCAATTTGAGAATATTCAAATATTCAAAGTTAAAACGCTTGTTCTTTCTTTTTTTTTAAATTGAATTTGTATTTCATCTTCTCTCTTTTTCTCTAATGTGCAAAAAAGAGGATAGATAAATCATGCAGAGTTCAGTTAAAAAAAAATGTAAATATGAATGGATTGTGAATACCAGCTAATGCATATTCTCATAATTTATGACAGAGAGATATATGATTTTGTTAAACTATATTGTATCTTTTAGATTTGAATATCTTGTATACTTATTTTATAAAAATTGAGTATATTTTTCACAGCTAGTAAATTTTAGTTTACACTTGAACTAATAAGTAATTCTTTAACACATAATATAATAACGATATTGTTATAATTGCCTTATTACGGCTGATAGCAGAATATATGCAATTTTGCATGATTCTAAGTGAAAATTAAATGATGATTTGTACTTGCACCACTCTGACAGTTTTGTGGGGAGAATTATACCTACTATGTCTACTGATATATTTGGTAAATTTATTTTATGAATATTTGATCTTAAATAGAGAATAAACACAAAATTTTATTTTTGTACAGGTTTTGTTATCTTCAGAATTCGTGTACGCCGTGGTGGACGCAAGCGTCCAGTTCCTAAGGGTGCAACTTATGGCAAGCCCAAGAGCCATGGTGTCAATCAGTTGAAACCAACCAGGAAATTGCAGTCAGTTGCTGAGGTGAGATATTTGAATACAAAAAATTAAATAACATAAAAACATGATCTTAGAAATCATGTATGATGAATTGTACCATGCACCACTCTTACTTTAAAATGGGGAAGCAGTTGTACTTTCTGATTACAGACATTTTAATTACAGAAATTATAACTTTTTATTAATATTAATTAAAACACCATCTTTTTTAAATTTTATATTTGTATACTTCCAAAAATGATGATAGATTTGTTAATAATGAACAACATTGATTCTTTTTCTTCCTTGGATGTCTGAAATTGTTATTAATTTAATAGTTATCAGTCTTTTTTGCTGGGACTTTTTACTAACAATGTTTCCTTGCAGGAACGCGTTGGCCGCCGTTGCGGTGGATTGCGAGTGCTTAACAGTTACTGGGTAGCTCAAGACTCTTCGTACAAATATTATGAAGTTATTCTGATCGATCCTGCTCACAAGGTAATATTCAAAACTAATTTATAGCTTTCATTCGCTTGGAAAGCAAAATGATTGTTTTATCATTCTTATTATTAACATTATTATTATATGCGATATATAATACTTTCTTTTATTTGATAATATGATGACATTTTATATTACCAATGAATGATCCATGATTCTTTATCTTCCTTGGATGTCTGAACACAACATAAATTTTAAGAATTATTTTTTAGAGATCTGTTCGTCGTGTATACTTTTAACGTTTCCTGATTTCATTCCAGGCAATTCGTAATGATCCTAAGGTAAATTGGGTCTGCAATGCGGTACATAAGCACCGTGAGCTTCGCGGTAAGACCTCCGCTGGCAGAAGCTCTCGTGGATTGGGTAAAGGACATCGCTATTCGCAAACGATTGGTGGTTCGCGCCGTGCAGCCTGGAAGAGACGAAACACACTGTCTCTCCGCAGAAAGCGATAATTATTTTGTTTGTAATTTGTACATTACAAGATACATCATTTTATTGCTTACTTGGTATCAATATCGTGACGTATCCTGTAAAAAAAATAAATATCTCTTTCTTAAAACTTGTAAAATTTTAGATTCTTTAATTTCCTTTTCTGTACCCATGAAATCTTAATTAAAAAATCCAAAGCAGGAAATATAACGAAAAAACAGCAAATAAAAATAATTTTTATAACCGATTTATTTTTTAATTATGTATATTTTTAAAACAACGTAAAGGAAATAACTCATTGACCGGGTCCAGATAATGATTTGTCCATGAATTTCTTTTTCGCAAAACAGAGCCACCATTTACTCGGCTTCCCATCCTCGCCATATACTTTTTCAACAATTCTAACAGCCGTTTCCTGCCTAATCTGATGAAGATATTGTCTCATGAGATCTAAAATTGGAAGTGATATATTATAGAATATATCAGTTGTTAATTTCCAAATTATGCGTTTGGTATTTACCAGCTTCAGCAGGACTGCTTGGTTTGGCATATACAGAATTCAATGGAAAGCCAGAATCACCAGGGATATCAAATTTAGAGATAGCAAGGGAAAACATCTCATTCATAGCATGTGATTGAGTCGCACACTTTTGTAGCTTCTTCAGACATTCGGTAATGAATAAAGTGATGTAAATTAAAACTCTGTCAGCCTCGCTCTGAAATGAAAGTACAACTTGACATATATAGGAATTATATCTCCTCTCATGATAGAATCGGACTTTTAAATACCTTAATTTCATATGTCCTAAAAAATACATTTGCTTTGAAGAAATATAATGCCTCATCAATGATGTCTTGTTCTTTGTTGTTGAAAGGAGGTGCAGGACCCCTGAATGTGGTTTTGATTGGCAGCAATGCCATGTTTCCAATAGTACCATGGCTCTTTGTGAAACTTGAGTGATACGCCTAAAATATTATAAGCAATGTATAAGGTATGAAATATTTGAGATATTACAAACAAGACAGATGACTAATCTAATCAGATTGTTATAGACTGATATTTATAGTCTATTTCTATTTATAGTAAATTCTTAAGTCTGTCTTAAATACTTAAAATGTCAAACCATCAATTAGGAGGCAGCATTAGTGTGTTTGGACATTACTTTTAAAACTATCTTAAAATAAGAACGGACTATAAATATTGATTATAGACTTTGGTCTAACAAGCTGGCTCTACATTATTATTCAGTCTTAAAAAATTGTTACAATTATAATATAATCTATACGAGTAAGAAATTTTTATTTTATAGATATTTCATAAAAAAAGAAAAAAAATAATAGCAAAAATCCATGCTGGAAAAGAAGAGACGTTGCACTTTGGTTATGGGTGACGCCCTTTAGCATTGCATGTTTATCTTGAAACATCGTTTGCTTGCGTTGGCATAAAGTGTCAGGACTTACAGGCATAATGATGATAGAATAACAGTCTTCTAACAAAACAGAGTAAACAGAGGCACGTTAACTACAACATGCCTTGAAATGTCAAACTGTGTCGAGCTGATCAGCAAACCGTAACAGTCTAGTTCGAACAAGCGGCAGCAGACCGCGCTGATGAAACTACCGCGTCCAGGGATGCAATCATCAGGAAAAGAGAAACAGCAGTGACGATACGACGTGTGTGTTTGTGTGCGATTGTATGCCAGTGTTACGGAGTTCCCGATGATGATGTTGCGCCGAGGCTCGCCGAGCTCGTGAAAACGCTCGACGAACGTTTAACGCGTTCGCGTTCCCTTGGAAACGACGACGACGACGTAGAGGAGAGAGAAAGCTCGTCCGCACATGTCGATCTCCATGCAGATTGACAGCGGCATGTTGATGAATCCAGACACCAGCCTCTGCCGCGTCTGCCTAACCGTGGATCACAACAACCAATGCATCTTCCGCAGAAACTGGGACGATCCGGAGAACCCTTCTGGATTGTCCGAGAAGTTGCAACTATGCTGCGGCGTGGAGGTTTGTTTTCCACCTGCGCTTTCTATTTATTTTGCATACAAAGCACGAGTCGCTCTCTTTTCTTATTCAGGTTCTGGAGGATGATGGCCTGCCCACTAGTATCTGCCTTGAATGTGTGATGAAAGTCAATGTTGCCTACGAATTGAGGAAACAGTGTCAGAAAGCAGACGTAGAACTCAGGAAGTTGTATGGAAAAGTTTTGAGAACAAACATTGCCAGCATTTCTACAAAAGTACTTTTATTTTTGAATATGAATAAAATAATAATAAGTAACTAACTGGTTTAGAATTAACAATTGATTAAGTAGATAAAGGAACAATAAACTTGATAATAGTTTAAATTTAAACTGAAACACTTGGATAATTTATGCGATTAAAAATACAGTTTTTTTATTTTTTCTATTTAAAATAATAATTTCAATACTGTTCAGGCTGACATATTCTTTTTTGCAGGACCAATGTTGTCAAACTGACCAATCTTTTATCTTGGATGCAATCAATTTGAGTGACAACATAGAATTAAGTACAGATAATGAAGTTAACATGGAAAAAAGTATAATGCAATCAAATGTTATAAGACAAGAACAAATACCAGATGCTTTTGATCAAATCAAACAGGATATTTCAGTTAACAATGAAGTAGATTTAGGCTTCGGTAATAAATATAAACAAATAGAACATGACAAAATAGCTAATAGAATCAGAAACGAGAATAACTGTAGAACGAGAAGATTGACTATGTTTAAAAGAGTCACCTCTATAGAAAATTTGAGAAATTATAAAGAGAGACAGAGACGATACATTAAAAAGAGCTTAAACGTCAAACGCGACAGCAGCGATAGCGAGTATCAAACAAAGGTGAGAAATGTCCACAGCAGGATGAACAGAGCGTCCGAACTGGAGTTACAATATAAATGTCAAAAATGTGATAGATTTTATTCCAGTAAAAAGTCTTTAGATAGACACACATTGACTCATAACGATAAAAAGTTCAAATGCGATAGCTGTGATAAGCAATTCTTCTGTCTGGATAAATTACATAAACACATTAATCTGCACAGAACAAAGGAGAAGCCAAAACCAGTGTTATGCAAAATCTGCAACAAGAGTTTCAGAAAGATCGACACTATGGTCAGGCATCTGAATACTCACAAGAAGGCATATCCTAAGGACGTTTTCTCTATACTGAAAGAAATACGGGACAAAAGAAGATTGGAAAATAATCCAGAGTCTTTCGAAATGTCGCTTACGTTGGACGAAGACGAAGAAGTGGCACATGATGAACAATTTCAAAGTGAAAACGACGGTAGTACAAGAGAGCTGCGAAAACGTAACAATACAAAAGTGGAACTAAGAGATTCGGATTTAGTGAACAGTGATTCCAGCGATGACAAGACAGAGCCTTTTGATGACGCGTCGCTCTTCAACTGCAAACATTGTAGCAAGAGTTATCGTACGGAAAGGTCGCTTCAACGTCATCTACTAATACACGATGAGAAGAAATATGTTTGCAACGTTTGCAACATGAAGTTCTTTCGACAAGATAGGTTGAAGAGCCACATGGATCGGTACGGTCATGATGAAACCAAGATTTGTTTAGAGCCGCAGAAGCCACCTGATGATAAGTCGGCCATCAAGCTGATAAACACTTGGATAAGAGAGGAATTGGATTCTGACAACGAGGGCAAGGGGTTTCCATGTAGAATCTGCGGAAAATCATACGACACGAAGAAGTCCTTGTTGAAACATCAAATGAACACACACGGTGGACAAAACGAATACTGCACGAGTTGCGGTACCGTGTGTAATTGCGCGTACAAGGATCAGGAGAAAGGCAACGAAAAGTCAAAGCCGTATACTTGCGAGGAGTGTAATAAGTCCTTCGAGAAGGAGATCAAGCTGCATAAGCATCTGCGAATTCATGAGCGCGCCAAGGAGCAGCAGGACGCGAACTTTAAGCGTTTTCTATGCCACATATGCAGCAAAACGTTTCGACAGAATACTGGCCTCATGTTCCACATGAGAACACATACGGGTTACAAGCCGCATGTGTGCAAGTACTGCGGTCGTGGCTTCACATCCAACTCGAATTGCATCAATCATGAGAGGACTCATACGGGTGATCGGCCTTTTGTTTGTCAATACTGCAGCGCTGCGTTCGCCAAATCGTGCACCCTCAAGGCTCATATCACCACGCACACCGGCGAAGCGAATTATCATTGCAAGACCTGCGGCAAATCGTTCCGTCGGTTGAAGTACTTGAAGGAGCACAGATTTACGCACACAGGCGAGAAGCCATACGCATGTAAGATCTGCGGCACCGCGTATAGTCATTCTGGCAGTTTATTCGTACACGAGAAGAAATGCAAAGCGCAATTCAGCAATTATCAGACGGGGGTTGTACAAAATGCACAGCAACAGCAACAGGTTTCCTACAATCAATCCCCTCAGACCACTGGCTGCATTTCTATGGCATCCACTTCTTCAGTTGTTGCTCCTATTATCACTACGCTGCCTCAGACTCACCTAAACGTCATTAATAGTACTCTGAATGTACAGGCGAACAAAGACTACGTGGATAATATTCATCGAATGAACGCGCAAGCAGCGACTAACGCAACCACAGTTGTTTCACCGGGTCTACACCCGAATGTTGATATTTCCGAAATAAATTCCGCCGTCAGGAACTTCTCCATCATCGGGCAGATGTTTCACACTTAGGAAAGCGTACGAGCGAAATGCGAATCAAGACTACTGTGATAAATGTCCCTTTTTTTTTTAACAATACTTGTCAAGATGTATTTTACATTTCGAGTGTAGCTACGTATCTTTCTGCTTTATTATATAATAATTCTTTGATAACAAAAACTCCCATACAATTAAAAATTAACTTGAAAAGAAAAAGGGATTTTATTTATGTAATTTTTCATTGTCTCTGAACAAGGCTCAAAAATGAGCTGAGACATGTAAGAATAATTTTTGTAACAAATAAGTTTTGCTTGATAAATATCAGCGTTTGCGTAAAGTTATCTGTGCATCACTCCTAGTGCCTTTTTTCTTTCCAAGTTAATTTCTGCTTTATCTTTCAGTAAACATTAAGATAAGTATATTGTATTGTACCTACGTCACAATATGGGAAGATGGGTATAGAATGTATATTTGTATCTTACGATTATTAGAAATTTTTATCGTACAGAATTTTTATACGACAGAATATTTTTATTCTGTATAGCTGTTATACAAAAATATACATATACATATATGTATATATATAATATATATATGTGTGTACGTATAACTTTATATTTTAATGATTGAATTGTTACTTCTGTATATACGTAATTATTATGTAATTATTACGTAGATGATTCGTCTGTTGAATCAGGGAAAGTTCTATCAGTTATGAATTTTTATGAGTTCTATTCTACGTCAAAAATTTTTATAAATTTCATAACTGACAAATACATATACGTATATACATATATTGAGCAAGATTTAATTCGTGTATACAACATGATAAAATAAATACATTTTGCACCTATGCGGCTTATTCATTTTTCGAATTGTCTTAAATTAAAATATCCCCTTATTAAAAGTATTCAAACGTGTCAGCAACTAAATTGACGTTATATTTATTGTCATTTGATATATATTTATATATGTATATAAGATCAGGGAAGTTATTTTTATCGTTATCTTTACTATTACTTTTCAAAACAACGATTTTGTAATGACGTTGCAATTTTTTATGACAGTAATGATAATTAAAAGTTAAGATTTTGGAAATGTCACTTTTGAAAACTTGTCATCATACATTATTTTTTGTGAGAGAGAGAAAAAAGTAGTTCATTACTTGAAATATATCATTTCGTTATTTTTAAAAATAACGATTCGACATATAAGAAATGAACTACTATTCTCAATATATGCGTAATGATGACAAGTCACTTTTCAAAGTGATATTCCTAGTCTTAGTTTTCAGTTCGCTGTCGTTAATGTCATAACAAAATTGCAACGTTTTTTGTTAAATTGTTTTAAAATATAATGACAAAAGTAACGATAATATAGTAATTTCCCATTCCTGTTTAAAATTATTATTTCTTTTTTTTACATAAATTTCTTTTTTATATTATAACAAAAAATAATGTTTTTAAATGTATATATTTTATTTGTGAAAATAAGAATAAAATTTTATTTTATATTTCAATATTTTGAAGAATATCTTTACTGTGAAGCAAGTTACATTTAATTTAAAATATTAAGCATATCATAAATATGGGTGATAATTTTTGAGTTTGAATATGAAAAAGATTTGAATGGATATTTCCAAATTTTCCTGATCCATTTTTCAACAATACATTACATAGTCTATTTTTGCCAGCATCACTTTCACGATGCGAGCTGTTTGACCGGTTTGACGATAGATATAGTTTCATATTTTATGTGTACGTAGTACAATGTAAAAGATAGAATAATACTTGAAAGATGTTTAAAGAATGGCTATGATATGTTTGAAAAATTGGAACGTGAAATATTTTTCTTTTAAATTATTACAAGCAATTTTTGCTTGTTTATATTTAATCGTTTTTCTGGCTCTCGAAAGTGAGTCACGTCTGTAAATGAAAGGCTGTATTCAAGGAGCGCGCCATTAGGCGCTATTACATCAATCTATCCTTGTTTTATGAATGAATGATAAAGGTAGCAACACGATAGCCTCGATAGTGTGGCTTCCCAAACGCAGTTATTGGCTGCGAGTGGAGACCGGTGGGGATGTCGAACTGGTAGTAGGGACAAGGACTGTAGTTGTAGGGAGATAATAAATAGAGGAATTTAGCCGGCTGCCGGCAAAAATTCTACGTTGTTGTACCTTCGAGGTCTATTCGGTTGGCCTGATTCTACGACGCCGTTGGTGATTGCACAATAAACGCCTTTTCATCTTCGCAGAATTTGTTAAATTGTAAGTAGAATTCTGTTATTCTTACGTATTCAGACTTATACTCGACACTAATTAATTCGAGACTGCCGAGATCTTACTGTGCGCAATATTACGTTAATATGTCGAGCAAAAGTAAATTTGTGGTAACCGCCCAGCTAATTGATAGGGATTAACGGCTTATAGTAGCGGATGAATTAGTTTTATCACCATGACGAAGCAATAATAATGCCAAGGTCTATTCGGGGAATTATTCGGTATAGTCATGGCATTCGAAAATTGTTGCGAAAATATAAGTACGAATAGAGGACTACAAGAGGAAACGCCTCAACAATGGCGTCGCCAATATTAGAATCGAAATAACGAGATTAGAATCTTATTTCATAAAGCATATTTTATAAATAATGATTAATGAGAATTATCGTTTAAAATCTGAGAACTATAATCGAATATGCATATATTTTCTTATCTCATGCAAAATATATTTTAAATAAAAGCTCATATTTTTATATGGATTCTTATCCAGTTTCATTATCAATCTATGAATACTCTATATATGTAAAGATTTCACATTCTACAATCTATAAATATGGTACCATATTGCACAAGAATTTTTTGCAACTTTTGTAGGTAAAACATATTGTGCAGTAATATTCCAGGTCAAACATAAGTTAATAATATAGGGACGTCATCATGACCTATTTGTCATTTGCAAGTTCACTTAAATGATAAATGTAGTTATGATGACGTTCTACGGCTAGGGTATCACACACATTATGTGTTCTACCTGGGATATTACTATGTATAATGTGTTTTAAGCATGAAAGTTGAAAAAAGAATATACATACGCTATGTTTAAAAAATTTTGTGCAATATGATTAATCGTGTATATATAGTTTGATAAGAATGATAAGAAAATAGGACTTGTAATGATTATATAACGTAATTGGAACTCTTACAGATTTAAAATTTATTATGTTACAACATCGCATATAATAATTTTATTTCTAATAAATAGTATATAAAATTATTAATGATTTAATTAATGATTTTATAATTATATATTCAATTTTTTTTAATTTGTTCTGATGACAATTTCATTTCAATTCAGATTTTAAATTAAAATTTTAACTTAATATGGTTGGACAACAATATTGATTAAAAATTGGTTTTGAATTTTGGCTTTAAATATCTAGTTTAAAGGTAATATTAATTAAAAATTAATTTTAACCCTCCGTCTGTAATTGTGTTTTTATTCCTTCTGTTTTACTCATTCGAGTCTTTTTTGTTTAGCTTAACAATGTTTTTTATTTATTTATTATTCTAGACTTTTAAAAAATTTATAATTGTTTTTCATCATCTTTATTACATTATCAAGTATAATAGTTTTTTTAACTCAAATGAAAATGTTTTTATGAGAAATGAAATTTGAGCAAAAATCAGTAGTATTTAGAAGAAATTTCGCTCATACCAAAAAAAACCCCAAATTGCAGAAGGAGAATTAAAATCTAGTATTTAACTTTTAATTTATATATATTTAATATAAAATATATTTTGATAAAAAATAAATTTAAAGTTGAAACTAGTCTTAACAAACTTCTTTAATAAGACTGAGAATATTAAAGCGTATTATATATATATCCGCATAAAATTATTTTTATATTCTTAAAATCATGACGATAAAGAAAAACATAATGAGTATTTTCTTTTAGCAACATGCCTTCTTATAAGCTGATTTATTTCCCTGTCTCGGCATTGGCTGAGCCAATTCGCTTCCTGTTTCACTATGCTGGCATCGAGTTTGAAGATGAACGTTTCGATAGAAAGGATTGGCCAAAACTTAAGCCAAGTATGTACATTTGATTAATCTTAATAGTATATATTACTATTCACCTGTTGCGAATTTAATCCAGTTCAATCCTTGAAATCCGATTTAGGAACAGATAACAGATCTCTAAAAGTATAGTCGTTACATTATCTTTTGAAGCGGCGACTAATCTTCCTTACAATATTTTTAAATACAAAATATTTTGATGCTGGGATTATGCCAGTTTGATTCTTAACGAGACGTTTACCTTTAGTTTTTTTTTATATACACAAAACAGAACTGATATTTTTTTTTACAATAGAGCCTTTTCTTTTTTATTACGTATTGTAATAGGAAAACCAGTATTGTAATGTAAATACAGTGTATATGTATTTTTAATTAATGACATTCAAGTTAGTCAATCAATTAATACATAATAGAATTTAAAACATAAACTTTTCAACATAAAGCCATATAAAAATTGAAAATATAATTGTGTGTATTTAACTTTAATTATGTAATAATTATATAACCATAATTTACTGTACCATATTTACCATAACTGTTAATATTTATATAATCATAATTATTAACTATCACAGTTCTTAATGTATGTTCTTAAAAGATATTTGCTGTAGATACAAATTTGTCACAATAATCTAGATAGCTAGACGTTCATAATATCTATTATGAATTTTATTCAATTTTAACAGCATGTTAAATTCGTTTCATCTTTCAGGTACACCATTCGGCAAAGTACCCGTACTCGAAGTAGATGGAAAGCAAATCGATCAGTCCGTAGCTATCAGCCGTTATTTGGCGAAGCAATGTGGTCTTGCTGGCAAGAACGATTGGGAGTCTTTGGAAATAGATGCGACCGTCGATACCATTCATGATGTACGCGCCAGTGAGTATAATATTCTGTTTATACAATATTGACTTGTTTATCGGAAAGGGAGATTTAGTTTTAAAATAAATTTGAATCATGATATTCATGCCTTTATATCTCAATAATACAAACAGATCTATTTGCAATGATAATATAAGAAATATATTTTTTATACTTGCGTTAAATTCGATTTACTCAAATATTGGATTCAAGCTGTTTGTCACAATTGTCACTATCTTATTTATCTTTTTCCTTGTTTGTATTAGATATTGCTGCTTTCTTTTACGAAAGCAATGAAACAGTTAAAGATGCGAAACGTAAAGCTGCCATGGAAACAGTACCATTTTATTTGGAGCGTTTAGACGCACAAGTAAAGAAGAATGGCGGTTACTTTGTCGGTGGTTCTTTGACGTGGGCCGATTTCGTTTTCGTCGGTCTTTTGGAATATTTGAATCACATGATGAAGGAGGACATCGTCGAGAAGTATAAGAATCTGAAACAACTCCAAAAGACAGTTGAGGAATTACCGGCTATCAAGAAATGGCTCGAGAAGCGTCCGCCATCAGTCTATCCGAAATAATTCCGTGGATTTTGTAAAATGGTTTTTCAGCAGTGTTCCTTAATGATTAATAAAATATTGATTTTTTTTTTAAACGCGTCTATATCTATGTTTGGAAGGCATATATGATTGATTCATAAACTAAGAGATACACTGAATATATATATTTTTTTTTAACACGCGTTGAAGGCTGAATATTACTCATATTGTTGTATGTCATATAATGTTAAAACTGTAATAAGATAGTTTCTAATTAAATCTCGAAAAACAAACTATTATTTTCTTTATATAATTTTGTATTTCAATAAATCTACTTTTACTATTTTCTTGTTGATTTCTTTTATATTTGCGAAACTTACTTTTCCAATTATTTAATTTCTTATTTATAATGCATTTTCATTCCTAATTTTAAATAAAAAATTATCAGGAGATGATGTATTATAATTAAGAATGATTAATGCACATTTGAAAAATTGGACTGTCCTTGCTTTTAAAATTTTTTAGACTATATTTATCAAGCAATTTTTATCTTTCGAAAGTTTTCTCCTGAAAATGAGTCGTGTCTCAATGATACAAGGTGGAGGTGTGTTAAAACAGTAAAGAGATAGTAGAAGAATTTAATAGCTGAGCAGTTGATTCTACTATCAGTAGAATCACCATTGATAATATGGAACAATGCGGATTTACCGGCAAAAACGATTGGGAATCTTCGAAAATCGACTAATCAGAAGTAAACTATCAATATCATACGAGACTTACGACAAAGTTAGTAAATATTCTATGTATTTAATTTCTATTCGTATCAGAAACAGAAATTTCTTTGAAAGCAGATTCAAATCATGATGTATTGAGATCTTTATTTCGAATAGACGAATTCATATATTCATAAATAATAGTGAAAATTTCCTTTACCAAAACGATTTGGACTATGTATCATTTTATTTATCTTTCTTTTGTTGCATATATTAATGTTATTGTTTTTTAATTTGTAAACTGCGGACAGAAGCTTGAAGTTACTAGTGAGATGGTGCCATTATATCATATTTAGTATCTGAATGTTTAGGTAAAAAAGAATAGTTGTTATTTTATTGTTCAATGATGTTTGATTCGTGAATAAAAAAAATTTTTTTTTTTAAATATTTATATTTATCTACGGCAGGCATGCACTTATATGGATCTAAATCAATATTTTTGAGATACAAATGAATATTTAATTTTTTGTTGGAGACTGTTACGAGTATTGACAATAATAAAAATATAACGTCAGATTATATCTTAAAACATTTTTTATTATGTAATCTTGTAGTTCAACAAATCGATAATTTGTTGATTTCTTTCGCATTTACAAGGTCTTATATCTTTCTATCCGTTTAATTTATTATCATCCATCTATACGATTCTGTATTCACTTATATCATTACTTTTTCTTATTAATTGTAACACGAAATTTAATGATATTAATATTTGTAATCCGATCGTAGTCGAAATATATGTTTTGTTTTTGTAACTTTTATATTATGATTATTTAAATTAAAACCGTTTTTACATTACTGATTCTTTGCCCTTATTATATATATCTATATTGTTTTATACTTACAGAGCCTTATATAATTATATTATCATTGTTTTTTTCTTATTTTTTCGTAATAAACTTATTTTTGTATTTAAACTGCTATAAATATATAGTTTAGTTACAGTTAAGCATCCAGTTAAATGTTTACGTCAAAGAAAATCAGCAGCAATGTTAAGCGCAATCAAGTATTTAACAGCCATAAGGTCGCATATGTAATTCATAAAAGATATCTGCTTTCACAAAGTGCTGTTGATAAAAGAGATGTGTATGGTAAATAAAATAAATGCTACGTAATTAATTTAACAATTACGAAACATTGATAATGCATTATCTACTTTTATACACAGATAGAGCATTGAAAGTGTCTTTTCAGTATCATAATATAGCTTTCGCGGTTGCTAGGTGCTATATTATCTCTGCGTATAACTGTAATGCAACTGAAGGTCACACAACATAGTTATACAATTGAGGGGGATCTATGACTATTCACCGACAACGAGCAACTAGTAACGTGAGAAGGCTATGTGTACATATTTTTTTTATGCCGTAATGTGACAATTACATTGAATACACTGGCCTTTCTACAAGAAAATATGATAAAATGTTAATTGTAATTTACACAATAACAGAATTTTTTTCTTAAGAATATTTTTGTAATATGTTAAATGTTCGAAAAAAAGATATTCTAATTAATTTCTTTTTCAAGTTTTATACATATATCGTCTTTGTAAGTATGTCTCAAAAATCTATTACAATCTATATTTTATAAATACAGAAATAATAATATATAGAAAATATTTTTAATTACAAATTTAATAATATATAATGATCGATTAATATTAAAAGACATATTGATAAGAAAATAAAAATTCGAATTCAAGAAAAGAACCGAAAAAAGAGCTAATCAATTCTTTGCATCATCTGTCACTTATTTTTTGTAATATTATTAAGTATATGCGTGCTTTTTTAATAATTTATATATATACATATATATGTATATATAATAATATATAAAATAATAGTAATTTTTTAATTTCATAATTTTTTAAAATTTTGTTAATTATATTAATATATATATATTAATACTATATGTTATATATAATAATATAACATAGTGTATTAAAATAATACACTGTGTTAATTGGTATTAATATATTCAGTGCTTATTTATAATCAATTTTTATCGTTATATTCATCATATTTTTCTTTTGAGTTTTATGCACATAAAATTTGCAAGTCATAACAAGTTATTAATAGCAAGGCGAGGAATCATGAAACATTTATCTTTTATGTAATGGTATATAGCATGTGTATTACATGATAGATAATGTCAATACCGCGCTTCATTGATAAATTTTGATAAATCTTGTAATAATTATATGATCGTTGAAGTAAATATATAACAAGTATTTGTAAAATACATATGCAAATTGCAATGTATTGCACAATTATACATAACATGTTATTACGGATAAAATATTTCATAATCATTTTATTATCAATTGCAAATGTCTGAATATATGTTTTAGAAAACTTATATATCTATGCATTTAAAAAAGCTTATACATAACACAATTATTATATTATTATGTTATAATTCATTATAATCAATCTCAACTTCTGTTAACTCTAAATCTCTATATATCTTTCCAATCAGCAGGCAATGCTTTTAAAACGTTTTTTAAATATTTAATGTAAAAAAATATTTTAGAAATATATATATTTTTTTAATACTATGTGCTGATTGGGTTATTAGATATTTTGTATATTTCTTATTGAGATGTTTTAATTCTAGGATTGCACTTGAAAATTTAACGGATATATATATAAAATATCTTCATAGAATATAAAATGTGCGGTGGGGAATATAAATTACAGATCTAACGCTCACAAATTACGAAATAACGCTCACTGTTAGTTGTTCCTGGTCTGCGAACAGTTCTGGGTCGATTGCTAGTCTTGATTTTACGAAAGATTGGATTACAGACTGCAAGGTAATGAGGAATTATATCTTCTTCATTTTATAACCTGTTTTTAGAATAAATATATATAAGCGAATATTATTAATACTATTAAAATCAGGTATATATCTATTATAATTTTAGCTGCGGAGTAAAACACAAGGCTATCAATAATAATGCAAAAACATTCGATTAAGTAAGATTTTAGAAACCATAAAGCGTTGAGCGACGCTTATCAACAATTTGTACTTTTCTCGAAATCTGGATAATCATTAGATGAAATATTGTCCTATAGATTATATGATTTTATTTAATTTCATCTGATAACAAATCATTTTTTTAATTATTCACTATATATAAAATTATTTAGTAAAACAAACGATTTTTATCCAATATTGCACAATTATTTCTCGTAGTTATGTAATAATTATTAGTTACAGTAGTACAGAGATTTGATATGAATTTCATAATTTCGGACACTCTATCTCACGATTACATTAAGTGATTATACCTTCGTTTATTTACATTACTACAATATATTGAATTTTTGTTGTTGATGAGTTTGTGTTTTGGTTTCGCAGCTAATTCGACACGCCTGACTGAAATACTTTTAAAAATTGTTTATTTTTAAATAAATGTAAAATATTTGAAGTACAGTGATAATATTTTTACTATGAATGTTTTAAATAACACATTATAGATATTATGTGTTATCGTCAATGTTTACGCTTAGACTTTTATTAAAAATATCAAATATTTTTTTTTAAGTATTCATATTTTACAATTTTTTCATTTATATAATTTTCAGAACATGCCAACGTATAAGCTAATATATTTCGACGTTACCGGCCTTGGGGAGGCAATTAGGTTCATGTTCAGTTATTGCGGCATCAAATTCGAGGATGTTAGATTTAGCTTCGATGAATGGCCGAAGTATAAACCAAGTATGTTACTTTTCATAGGATATTATTTTAAAATTTATAAAACGGTCATAATTTCGATTACTCCTCCATCTAAATATTAATTCGGGTTATAAAATTTTGCAAAATAAAACTGTGTTTCATGAAACTTTGCAGAATAAATTCCTCGCATTTATCGTCAAGTTTTATTGTTCTACGACCGCATTAGTCACGTAACTGTAGGTTAAACACATACACGGAATAGATTATTCTGCTATAAAGCAAAAATAAACAAGTAACTTCGCTCTTAATTAAAAAAAAAATAAAGACAAAATATATATATATGTGAGCCTTTTATATGTGAATTTAACAAATTGATGTTAGTAAATTATTAAAATATTTTTGCACACTGTTTTTGCATCGATTCCTAAAGCTCTTTGTATTTATTATTCTGTAATAATCTAATGACATTTTTTCTACACATTGCAGACACGCCTATGGGACAAGTGCCGGTACTTGAAATTGATGGTAAGCAATACCATCAGTCCAGGGCCATTGGACGATTTATCGCCAAGAAGGGCAATTTATACGGATCTGATGAGTTCGAGGCTATGGAAATCGATGCAACAATCGATTCTATAGAAGATATAAGACAAGGTAAAAATTTTGATGGTGAAACGCGAGAGAGCCAGAGATTGTCTATAATTATATAACCATCAAACCAATATGCGATTATGACTTCTCGAATTTTCCATGTTAACGGAATTAGTCAATTTAATGCATGTATTGCGCATATATCGACTAAGATTCTGTTTAATGTTATTGCTGTAAAGTACTTCGTATAAAGCAGTTATTTAAAGTTAACAAGCTATATATGTATATATATTTCCTGAATGACTGTTGCGTGTTATATAATAATTATCGCTCTTCTCGCGGTTGGCGGTTTAAATGGAAACTATATATTCCTATGCAATGTAAAAAAGTAAAGTAAATTATTTTTTGTAGCAATGACTCTTTATTATTGGGAACAAGATCCCGCTTTCAAAGCAAAACTCAAAGACACTCTTTTTCAAAAATTGCCTAACTATCTTGACGTATTCGAAGCTCAAGTTAAGAAGAATGGCGGATATTTCGTCAGTGGCAAGGTATATAATCGTTGATGTCAATTTGCGTGTGCTATTGATCATTTAATGTTTTATTACTTTTGTAAAGGAACAAAAATACATTTTCATTGTTTTAGCTGTCGTGGGCAGATTTCCTGTGGGCTGCATATTATGACTATATGAGATTTATAACAGGAGGGGATCCGAACAAGAATCATCCTGAATTAAAGAAGCTAGTGGAGAAAGTTCGTACATTGCCCAAAGTTAAAGCTTATATCGAAAAGCGACCTAAAACTCAATTTTAAGTAAAACGATTTATGAGATGCGACGCTATTAGCACTATTTGTGTTATTCTATTCTTGTTTTACAATTGTTTTACAACTTCTAATAAATAACGAAGATACACTCAACAGCAAAATTAAAGCATATCCTGCCTCCCTCAAAATAGGTAAATTTCAAAAGAGTGTAACTTCGTTAAAAATGATCGTAAATAATTTGTAATTTCCAACATAAGTATTCTAAAACTTGAAATCTCTATTTTCGAAAATCGTAATTGGTATTTTGATTTGATTAATTCTTTACGAAGTTATGCGAACACAAATGGAGACTAACTATTCTATTTTGAAGCGTTTTGTAGAAGAATAGCATACTAATAATGTTACTTTCGAATAGCGCTATATAATTAGTAGACGTTATTTCGGTTACATCATGTATAAAATATATATGTAAAAAGGAAATACAATTTTTTCCATCTAATAAAAATGCATATTTATCGCTGATTTCTTCTTTCTAATCCTCTTTTACATACCGTAAAACGTTACGTATTCAATTTTTAAAATTTTTTCAAAATTTTCACTGTTTTTTTCATATGGGTTATAACTATCAATTCTGTATATTATATGTTAATATATGCAATGATAATTTCCAACATAATTTTATGCGTCACATTTATGCAGATATCCGTAATTACTATCTCGATCTCGCGAGAAAATAAGAGATCCTTTTTTTATGTTATGCTATAGTGTGTTATACTTACGCTTCGTGCGCAGTGCAATCTGTTAGATATAATTTTGTATATGTGATTGTGCGCGTTCGGTGTTTTTTTAGAGGTCTCTTCCCTTTCTCCCTCTCTCTCTCTTTCCCCCTCTTATCAACTCTCATTTTTCCTTCCTCTATCACTCTCTCTCTCTCTCTCTCTCTTTCTCCCTCTCACCCCCTCTCCCTTTCTTCCTTCCTTTCTTTCTTTCTATCTCTCTGTCTCTATGAATTAATACGTTTGTAGTACTCAAAATATAATAGATTTTAAATATACAATATATTTAAAATCTAATAGATATATATGTGAAGTTTGGTGAAAGTAAGAGGTTTCAGTGTAAATCCAGTGTAGAGTGACAAAAAACAAGACGTATAAATTCCTCTTAATACAAGGACGTATGTTCCCAAGTAACTGGGTATACAATGGTTGCGTTCAGTAGAAAAAGCAGCTTTGCAACTGTTGTAAAATTCTTGAATATGATTGGCTTATACATTTATATATATTGAGAAAATAAGGGCAAGACCAATCATATTAAAAAATTTTACATTAATTGCAAATCTGCTTTCTCTGCTGAACGCAGTCAAATTATTCAAACGAAACGCTCAGTCGTTCTTGGTCCGCGACCAGCTCCGCATTGATTGTAAGAACTTCAGTTTCTACAACAGAATGGTTTATACTGACTAAACTGTAAGAGGTAATAAGGAATTGTATCTTCATTTCGTAACATTCTTCTAGAATAAATAGGTATGCAAATATCATGCTTATTTGAATACTACTTAAATTAATACTTAATTAATTCATTTTTAAATAAATATAAAATAGAAAATTTGTGTGTGTGTGTGTATATGTGTGTCTGTCATAAGGATTACGATTATAATATAATTATAATGATATTGGAGGATAGCAAAATTTTGAATCGTTTTGAACTTTTCGCTGACTTATACGTAGTTACGTATTATTGTATTTATTGGCATTATGTTCGTTTAGACTTGATTAAAAGTCAACTTATTTCATACATACATTCTTATATTTAGAGAAATTTTCAAAAAATGTCGACGTACAAGTTAACGTATTTCAACGTTACCGGCCTTGGAGAGTCAATCAGGTTCTTGTTAAATCACTGTGGCATTAAATTTGATGACATCAGGATTGCCATCGATGATTGGCCGAAATATAAATCAAGTATGTTCTTATATACGCTATTATAATATTTTCAGCATTTACAAAATCATAATTTCAATTTTACCTGAATACTATAATATTCACTTTGTAAAAGTAAATTTCTCACATCTGTCAGCAAGTTTTATTGTTTTAGGATCATTCAGTCACATTTCTAACACATGCATGGACACAAATATTGCATTGCAATAATCTAATCACATTTTTACACATTGCAGACATGCCTATGGGACAAGTACCGGTACTGGAAATTGACGGTAAGCAATATCATCAGTCCAGGGCCATCGGACGATTTATCGCCAAGAAGGGCAATTTATACGGTTCTGATGATTTCGAGGCCATGGAGATCGATGCTACTATTGATTCTATGGACGATATAAAACAAGGTAAAAATGCTAGTACATAAACATGAAAGGATGACAATTATCATTAAATAATCATGACACATACACTATGACTTTTCGTGTCTTTCGCGCCGACGCGACACGACGGGATTATACACGTAGCCAGTACATCTTGCACACATGTTGCGCATATATTTTAAATAGGAGTTTAGTGTTACTGTTGCTTCATATAGAGCTGTTGTTTTTTTGAAGTTACTAATATATATTTTCTAATTAATTATCGTGCGTTGTATAATTAATATTCGCTATAATAATAAAAGATTAAGACTCAATTAAGACTCCTCTTGCCCTATATTCTCTCCAATTTGTCTTTGATAATTAATATTGTTCTTCTCGATTTACAATAATATCTCTCTATCCATGCGAAGCAAAAATCGTAAAGTAATTTAATTTTTGTAGCACTAACCCAATATTACTGCTGGGAAAAAGATCCCGTTTTCAAAGAGAAACTCAAAGAAACTGCCTTTCAAAAATTGCCCTATTACCTCGATAAATTCGAAACTCAAGTTAAGAAGAATGGCGGATATTTTGTTGGTGGCAAGGTAAATAATTTTCAATTACGTGCCATGCTATAACTGATTTTATTTATTATCGTAAACAAACAAAAATATGTTTTTATTGTTTTAGCTGTCGTGGGCAGATTTCCTGTGGGCTGCATATTATGACTATATGAGCTCTGCAATAGGAGGGGATCCGAACAAGAATTATCCCGAATTAAAGAAGCTAGTAGAGAAAGTTCGTACTTTGCCCAAAGTTAAAGCTTATATCGAAAAGCGACCTAAAACTCAATTTTAAGTAAAATGATTTATGAGGTGCGACGCTTATATTAGCACTGTTTGTGTTATTTTATCCTTGTTTTTCAATTGTTTTACAACTTCTAATAAATAACGAATTAAGATATAATAACAAAAATATAATGTCTCTCTGAACTCACACCAATAATATTATGCTCTCTTTTTGATCTGTTTTAATATCTTTTAATAACTATTCTATTTTGAAGCGTTTTGTAGAAGAATAGCGTGCACACACATACTAATGTTAATTTCAAATAGCTCTTAATATTGTTATGTACATGGTGTAACCGAAATAACGCCAACTAATTATATAGCGCTATACCTGATTAAAAACTGAGTCGAAATTCTGAGTCTGCTTAATGAAAAAATTTTCCGACGTGGGACTTGGAAAAAAATTTTTGATCAAAAATTTTTTGGGAGTACCGAGTAGTTCTGTTCGGAGTTCTGGACAGTTCTCGACGAGTTCTGTCGAAAAGTATCAGGGCTCAAAGCGATTGGACCAACGGTTTCCGAGATATACTCTAAAAATTATTGATCTTCTGACAAATGTCGCTGTATCTTGCAAACCGTTGGTCCAATCGCTTTTTCACCTTACAGTTTTCGATAGAACTCGTCGAGAACTATAAGAAACGCTACTCAGAACTACTCGGTACTCTCAAAAAAATTTTCAAAGGTTTCCACTATTTTTTTTAAACTTTATTATATTTCAAAAATGTTTTTTATATATCAAGAACTCTAGGTATTCACAAAATAATTCTGTTAAGCTGATCAGAACTATGCGACCTTGAATTTCGTTAAAAAGTTAGCACCCCATTTTTAAAAAATGTAAAAAAAATGTTTATTGGGCGGAACTCTTGTTATTAACTATAGGGAACTCTTCGTCTCGTCAAAAGGAAGTGGGAACTCTAATCAGAACTCCTGAGTACTATAGTTGGGATGCTAACTTAACATACCCAGCGCGCGGTTGGGTATAACCGCCCTCGCGCGTTCATTATCTCTAAGCACGCAATGTTTACAACAAACGGCAATGGTCGTCACTAAACAATATCTTTTGCCACTTGTTATAAACAAGTGTTAATAAAACAATTTTAGAAGAAAAAAGATGTCATTTAAATGATGCCTAAATCTGATCTTTTATGTCAAGAAAATGTTTATATTAAGAAATATTGTATGTAAATATCACATAGATCTCTAAAATAATTTTTTACATTAACGACATTACATTTGTCAAAATACATCTTCTTCATTTTAATCATAGACTCTAATTATGAGGATTCGTTTCTGAAAATCGTTTCTCCTAATTAGAATAAGAGTAAAAGATTTCATTATGCCAGGCCTTTAATTTCATTCAATTCTGTATGATTTTTCTTTTACTTACAAGAAGCAGACCTCTGTCGCGTCTATCTACTATCGGTGTCGCGTAATTGCTTATTAATAGTATTTACAGATACAAAGAGCTCTTTTAGGAAATTTCTTACAGAATGACTATTTTTTACATCATTTTTAAGAAATTTTAGTAAGATTTAAAAAAAGATCATTCTAAAAAATTGCTCTTCTCAATAATATAATCAATATGGATGAATGGTTTGCGAATAATTATCAAGTTGTGTATGTCACAGACAATTTTAATAATATCTAATAACATAGTATTATAAATAGTATTATAAAATTATCTTCATTTTTATTATATGATTTTATAATGTAATGTTGGCTAATGCTACTTTTTTAATCATTGCTATAATACATATAATACCAATTTTTTAGAAAAAAGATAATAAAGGATTCTTGAAGTTTAAAACAATTAAAAAATTAAGGGCTTATAAGAGCTAATGGTTAAAAATAGAGCAAATAAATATAAATGTATTAAAAGTTAAATATACTCATTTTTTGAACATCTGCTAGTAAATAAAAAGCTAAAAATGATTAAAAAATAATTTGTAATCTAACGGAAAAAGATCAATATGCACTAAAAAGTTACATGGGACTATAATAAATATTCTGTTAATTATTACAATGATAAGTTCCGACATAATTTTATGCGTCACAGTTATGCAGATCCGTAATTACCATCTCGATCTCGTGAGAAAATAAGAGATTCTTTTTTTATGTTATGTTACAATGTGTTATACGCTTAATGTGCAGTGCAATCTGTTAGGTATAATTTTGTATATGTGATTGTGCGCGTTCAGTGTTTTTCCAGAGGTCTGTTCTCTTTCTCCCTCTCTCTTCCCTTCCCCCTCTCTCCCCCTCTCTCCCCCTCTCCCTTTCTTCCTTCCTTTCTCTCTTTCTATCTCTCTGTCTCTATGGATGAATTAATACGTTTGTAGTACTTAAAATATATAGATAATAGATTTTAAATATACAATATATTTAAAATCTAATAGATATATATTGTATATTTGAAGTTTGGTAAAAGTAAAAGGTTTCAGTATAAATCTAGTGTAGAGTGACAAAAAACAAGACGTATAAATTCCTCTTAATACAAGGCCGTATGTTCCCAAGTAACTATAGGAACACGATATCATTCAAACCAAATGCTCAGTCGCTCTTGGTTCGCGAGCTGCTCCGCATTGATCGTCAGAACTTCAGTTTTTACGACAGAACGGTTTATACAGATTAAATTGGAAGGTAATAAGGAATTGTATCTTCATTTCGTAACCTGCTTCTAGAATAATTATAGGTAAGTAAATATGCTTAATTGAATATACTACTTAAATTAATACTTTGAAAATTAATTCATTTTTAAATAAATGTAAAATAGAATTTTGTGTGCGTGTGTGTGTATGCGTCTGTCATAAGGATTAAATTAAATTATGTAATTAAATATCAAAGACAGGTACATATAATGTTAAATATAAAATTTGACAGTATTATTTAAAATGATTTTCGGAGTTACATAAAAATACGTTTAATATACGATTATAGTACAATTATAAAGATACTTGGTGGATTTTGAAAATTTTGTTTTGAACTACGCGCTAACTTATATGTATTTGCGTAAAGTCCACGTTGCTATAGAATTAAATCGCTTCGAAATTTCAGACAAAGAAAGAATTAAATTGCCTTAAATGGATAAATTGTTGAAATATGATTTGTTAATTCCTCCTCCGTACGATATCTCGGAATAATTTTTATTATCGTAAACATAATACGACTTAAACTGAAGATTTGTTCACGTCACATGCGTCAACATGCATTGGAAAATGAGTGGGTGCTATGTTAGAAGTATACTGAAATACATTGAAGCATGTGACGTGAACAAACCTTAAATAGTGAGAGCAGGGACGACGTTAGATTATTTGGCGCCCCCATACAATATTCAAATTAATGTCTTATATTAGAGGAAGAGGCTATAGCTATTCATTTAAATTTTGTAGAATTATCTTGAAAAGGTAAAAGAAGAAAAAAGATTGAAAAAGAAACAGTGGCGGTAATGTGGCCCCTTACACAAAAACAAATTTTCAAAAAATTGATTCTCCTTAAAAACAGTACTTAGTTAAAATTATATTTAAAAATATTGCAAAATATATACAAATGTATATACGTATATATAAATTTTTATAAATATAATTTGCTGTTAGTACTAAAAATTCACGGAATCTAATGTGAGTGAACTATATGTAAATTAGCAACAGAGTTATGCGCTTATCGAATACTTTGGTAAATATTACGTGAACACCTTAAAATAGGTCGTATTATCAGTACGCTTAGGAAACTACATTAGCAAATTGTTACTCTATTATTTAACGTTGCATATCTCAAAATAGTACAGCCGGATAAAATATTAGATAACAAATAACTCTCATCCAAATTACATATAATATATTCATGTGATAATGCACATGAGTTTAAAACAAAATCAAGCAAAATTATATCTCACGTTTCAAAATGCTCGAAAGTATAATAAAAATGCATTTAAATAAATGCTTGCTATTGTGTATAAGTGTATGCTTGCTATTATTAGTGTATAAGTGTATTAATATCATTGTGTAGTAACGAGCCACTAAACAAATGATTTCATAAATACTCATTAGAATTCGCTATCTAATAGTGGAGGTATTTCGAAGAATCATATCTGTATGGGTCATGATATACCCATCTTCTCTTCTTATACATGGTAAAACTTTAATTTAAATATTGCATTTAAATATACAGGGTGGTTCAGTTAAATATGAACAAAACTTTTTCTTTTTGTATTAATAAAATCAAGGTTAGTAAACGTATTTACACTGATTGTGAATGACAGGTGGGAGTGTCAGTCCATTGCCTTGCATAGTTGTGGATTCGCGGCAGTTATTTCTGTAGTAGTTGTTGCGATATCTGAATAATAAAATGCATCGAATGCAATTATGCAACGCGTGGTTTAAGTTTACGTATCGATCAAGTTTCTTACGAACGGAATTGTTACAGCCACCAAAATATTGTATAAAGTGTGTGCACAATTTGGAGATGAGATGTTATAATCGAAAACGCAAACGCGTAAAACAACATTTAGTATTATAAAGAATACAATAATTAATAAGGAACTGTTGATATTTCAATAACAAGAAGAAAATTCAATTTGGCTAAAAAGAAGTCAACGCGGTATTGAGAGTAAAATACGACGAAGGAGAGGAGAGGTGGGGGTGGGGGTGGGGTGGATCGAAGTTGGTGGAGGTGTGAGTGAAAGGTGAGAGAGGACGTTACAAAGTTATAATACGACCGGACGGACAGAGAAGAAAGAGACGTTACGAACAATTCAAAATTTTTTGTATTTTAATAGTTATGCACTCCCAAAAATGGACTTTGGTGGCTCGAGATAGTCTATTATTAATCTTTTAAACTTAAATTAACTAATAATTTTTTGAACATGGCAGGAGACATTACCGCGTCTCCTGATTTCGTTATCAATATAAGCATGGTTTCTTTGGCCGACAATTGTGCTTCCAGACGGATAATAGGATATTCTGTGTTAATGTTTGCTGAGGATGGCTAAAAATTTAAAGCTGAAATGTCCAATCGTCGATGTAATTACACAACATATGTTTTATTAAAGATATTTTCTATTAATTTGCGTTCATATTACCGCGCTGACTCCTTTTTAGCCAAATTAAATTTTCTTCTTGTTATTATTATAGTATTATAAAGTATACTCTTGATAATAGATATAAAATAATACCGACCATTTATAATGTCTTTAAATTAAACGATTTTTTATGCCAATTTAAAATACCGTTTTTACACAGATATTCCTATCGTATTTAGTAAATGTACATTTTAATATTAATAACAACTATTTATAATGTCTTTGTACAGCATAAAAACACTTTAAACGTTTTTTAAATGTAAATTGTTTGTTTGGGAATCATATGTTAAATTCACTATCCGGAAAAAGTTAATAAAACACCGATAATTATCTTGAATAATCTTGTACTTCTAATCAATATTTTACAGTTAATGGTCAACAATTGTTTGACAAAGATCTAAATAAAGACTGAAAATGGTATATTATATATTGTATTAACCACGAGTATTTCGAATAATATGTTATAATGTTTTATAATGTTTTATCGCACGAATTTATTGGCACATTATGTTCGTTTAGACTTGTTTAAAAGTCAATCTTATTTTATACTTACATTCTTGTATATATATTTTTATATTATTACAATTTTCAGAAAATGTCGACGTACAAGTTAACATATTTCAACGTTACCGGTCTGGGAGAGTCAATTAGGTTCTTGTTAAATCACTGTGGCATTAAATTTGATGACATTAGGGTTGCCATCGATGATTGGCCGAAACATAAATCAAGTATGTTATTATATACGCTATTATAATATTTTCAGCATATTTACAAGATCATAATTTCAATTACTTTTACCTGAATAATATTCACTTTGCAAAGTAAATTTCTCACATCTGTCAGCAAGTTTTATTGTTTTATGATCATTCAGTCACATTTCTAACATATGCATGAAACAAATATTGCTTTCCAATAATCTAATCACATTTTTACACATTGCAGACATGCCCATGGGCCAAGTGCCGGTACTGGAAATTGACGGTAAGCAATATCATCAGTCCAGGGCCATCGGACGATTTATCGCCAAGAAGGGCAATTTATACGGATCTGATGATTTCGAGGCCATGGAGATCGATGCTACTATTGATTCTATGGATGATATAAGACATGGTAAATATGCTAGTACAATAAACGTGAAAAGATGATAATTATCATTAAATCATCATATCTGATGATTTAATGATAATTACACACACTATGACTTTTCGTGTCTTTCGCGCCGACGCGACGCGACGGGATTATACACGTAGTCAGTACATCTTGCACACATGTTGCGCATATATTAAATAGGACTTTAGTGTTACTGTCGCTTCATAGAGCTGTTGTTTTTTTAAAGTTACTAATATATATTTTTTTATTAATTATCGTGCGTTGTATAATTAAATGTTCTTCCTGTAGTGATTTACAATAATAGCTCTCTATCCATGCAAAGTAAAAATCGTAAAGTATATTAATTTTTGTAGCACTATCCCAATATTACTGGGAAAAAGATTCCGCTTTCAAAGAGAAACTCAAAGAAACTGCCTTCGAAAAATTGCCCTATTACCTCGACAAATTCGAGGCTCAGGTTAAAAAGAATGGCGGATATTTTGTTGGTGGCAAGGTAATGATTTTCAATGACATGCCAAGCTATAACTGATCTTATTTATCATCGTAAACAAACAAAAATACATTTTTATTGTTTTAGCTATCGTGGGCAGATTTCGTGTGGGCTGCATATTTTGATTATTTGAGCTTTATTCTGGCCGGGGATCCGAATAAAGATCATCCTGAATTGAAGAAACTAGTGGAGAAAGTTCGCACTTTACCCAAAGTTAAAGCTTATATCGAGAAGCGACCTACGACTCAATTGTAAATAAAACGGTTTATATACTTTTATGTTCTTTCTTTGATTTATTATGCGTCAACATTTTGAATAATTATTCTATTTCAAAACGTTTTGTAAAATGAATAGCGTGCTAATGTATTACTCTCAAATCACTTCTATTTCCTTACAGTCTAACAATCAATATTATTGCGAAACGTAATAGTATTACTACATAATTGTATTAAACATAATAATATAATACGAGAACGAAATAAAATATTTTCATTCGCAGCATAAAAGTATACGGCTTGTCGCTTCTTATTTCTAAAATCCCCTCTTTTCTATCTGTTTAAAGATATTGTGTATAATTATCAAATTATATATATTATAAACATTATATAATTTCAAAAAGGTACAGTAGAGTCTCGCGCCAAGTGAACGCGAAGCGAGATCGCACCGTATTCTTTACGCGAGTCGGTGACTTCCGAGTACCCGAAATTATCGAATCTCAATATGAATGACTGAATTAAGCGATTAATTCAGTATTCTCAATTTACTTAAAATTTCAAATTATATAATAAAACTGTTTTTTTTTACCTACATACCTTACGAATGAAGATATTGCGAAAGTCCGAATGTCAAATTTTGGCATTTATTATCATCCAAATAACAATATGTTATCAAAAAGGTTTCTAAAAGATATCTCATTTTTGAATCTGATAACTTAGAGAAATTTCGAAAAGATTACGTAAAGATAACTATGAATGTTATCTAATGCGCCTTTGTTTGAGAACAGAGAGATATATCACAAAAATAATATGTTTAAAAGGTTTCTCAAAAATTGCACATTAGAGAAATCTCTAAAAGATTACATAAAGATATCTAAATGTTATCTGATGTGACGTTTTTTTGACAGCAAAAAGATGTCACTAAAATGATGAATCTAAAAGATTTCTCAAATTGGACGTCTTTATAATATCTAAAGTATATTAACATATATAATTCATATTTATAATATCTAAGAAAGAGAGAGAGATTTGTTATATGTTAACATATAAATTTCTATATAAAGACGGTTTAAATATGATATAATATTAGCTAACGGCAAAATGGTTAATATTTTAAATGTTCGTATACAGTTGTTAAAAATAAAATTTAAAAACTACCAAGAAATTTGTTTTTGATGTAGAAAATGAGAATACGCATCAAATATTGTTACATGCGACAATAATTCTATTTATTTTTATAATGTGTTTTGTTACTACAGGCAATAATATAATTTGCATGATTATCCTGTGATTAGCGCGCATCTTGCTAGAAAATAAAAAATTTTACTCTTTTTTTTTGTGTTATATTTAAGCAAGATAAATGATGATATTAAAATAACATTGAAATGACTCCAAAATGCTTATTAAAGTTACTTTTCGATCACTTATAAATCTTACTATTCATTTTAATATTTTTACGACATTATATTATATAGCGATTTGTTGTTCTGCTTAGAATGCAACTTTCCGTGCGTGCATTCTGCTACATATAATTTTGTAATTGTGTGTGTGTAAAATTAACATTTCTGTATAATTCTTTCTATGAAAAAGACACGTCATCAAGTGATTAAATACGCAGTACTGTTTCAATGAAACGCTCTCCAGTCATTCTTAATCCGTGATCAAGTCAGCATCGGTTACCAAAGTCTCGATAACAAAGATTACAAACTGCAAGGTAACGAGAAATTTTAGAATTGATAATCGAGTACACTTATCTTAATACTGCTTAATGAACTAATACTTCTAAAAATGGTTTATTTTTAAATAAATATAAAATATTGATATCATAAGAACATTAATGAAATTATTAAATTAAACGATAAAGACTGAATTTGATTATATTTATCATTTTTATAGTTAATGGTCAATAATTATTTGCAGAAACTCTCAATAAAAATTAAAGCTAATATTGAAGCATTATTACACACAAGGCTACTTTGTAATACGATAATCAAGCATTGACGTGGTCACATAGAAGCTCCGAACTGTTATATGGAACTGTTATATAGAAGCATCAATTGATGCGTTCATGGGTTGCTTGCCTGTGCTTATCGCATTACAAAATGACTTTGTATGCTGTCGTTTAGACTTGCTAAGAGAGCAAACTAAATCTTATTTTATATATACATATATATTATTTGTTTTTATATTTATCAATTTTCAGAAGACCCAGTTAAATATTGAGTGAAATGTATAGTATTAATACTTTTACTATATATAAATGTTTTAAATAACACGCTATTATATTGTATTTATACATGTCACGCGAATGTCTGCGTTTATATATATGTTTATAAAAAATCTCATCTTACTTTATGTATTCATATTTTATACTTTCCACATTTATATATTAATAATTTTCAGAACATGTCAACGTATAAGTTAAAGTATCTTAATGCTACCGGCGTTGGGGAGCCAATTAGGTTCTTGCTAAATTATTGTGGCATCAAATTCGAGGATATTAGAATCTCCTTCGATGATTGGCCAAAATATAAACCAGGTATGTTATTTCATATATTATAATTTTGAGACGTTTGAAAATCCATATAATAATATATTTATATATATATTAATTCGTGTTATAAGAGGAGGATGCAAAGAAGTCTATTTTTGAGAAATAACTTTAAGTATTTAATTATACCAAAGAATTGTTTTTTTTTTACTATCATATGGATAATTTCTAGTAATTAATTTATGTTCTGTATTTAAGCTAAACATGGGCAAAACATTTTTTACATTCTTCTTTACTTTACAATCTTAAATTTTATTCTCGCATTTATTTTGCAATAATCTAATAACATTTGTATACATTGCAGATATGCCCATGGGACAAGTGCCGGTACTGGAAATTGACGGTAAGCAATATCATCAGTCCAGGGCCATCGGACGATTTATCGCCAAGAAGGGCAATTTATATGGGTCTGATGATTTTGAAGCTATGGAGATTGATGCTGTAGTCGATTCCATTGAGGATATAAGACAAGGTAAAAAATTCGGTAGTCAGCAAATACGAGAAAATTACAGATCATCAGTTACATAAGGATCCAAGTTTGTGGGTTATCGCCGTATCTTTCTTCATTATTAATGCTAACGTTTCGTGAACCATGCCGTTCACTTCATGAGGGGAAGGGGTGAACTGATACTGATACTATCGAAAATATGGTATATTATTCGGCAATATTTTAAAAACATTTATGGTATATAATATTATGTAAGAACGTTGACAATATATTCTTATATCATTGCATATATGTTGACATCATCTAAATAAACGTATTAGAGCAACATTTATAAAACATTTCAAATAATATTACGGAAATATTCTTTAAATATTGAAAAATATCATATTATTCGGCAATATTTAAACAATATTTATATCACATTACGTAATAACGTTGATAAAATTCATATAAAATCAATGTTTCAAAATGTTAATGTAATGTTCCTTGCTTACTGGGTAGAGTTATCGATAGTTCCAGCTATAGCTACTCGCCGCTAGATAGAGGGAACTTTCCGACACACCTAATACTTTAATCATTTTCTGAACGTTTTTACATGTTGTTTAATTATTGCTTTTCTCGGGGTTTACCATAAAAATTCTCTTTTTCTTCCAATACAAAAATCAAAAAGCAAATTTATTTTTGTAGCAATGGGTCATTATTACTTGGAACAAAATCCCGTATTCAAAGCAAAACTCAAGGAAATTGTCTTCCAAAAATTGTACCACTGTCGCGACAAGTTTGAAGAACAAATTAAGAAGAATGGCGGATATTTCGTCGGTGGCAAAGTAATAATTTATTCAACAAATCAATTAAAGATGACTCTCGAAAGTTTCAAATAACAAGAATAATACCGGCAAATGAGAGTCCCTTCAGCTGTTGTTAGTGCGATCATATAAGATATGTTAAAATGTGAATATTATATACTACGTAAGTAGTTCCCCCCATTATTGCGCGTCGAACTTTTTGTCGAACTTTAAACGCAAATCTAATCAACTACCGTAGTAATATCACAATTTTTGATGCTTATAGCATCTAAAATTGGATCTTAATAATATGTTGAAAGACATATTAAATTATTAAATTATAATATTTAAAGTATAAATGAATTTAAATCTATGAAAAATAAGAATTGTGAAGAATATCACGAGTTGGCGTTTCGTCCCGGCTTCCACTACTAGACTCATCAGTAAGGTAATGTAGTGGGAGACTTGTTACTTTTATCTTCGTAAAGAAATTAAAATATTTTTTGTTATTTAGTTGTCGTGGGCAGATTTCCAGTGGGCTGGACATTGTGACATTCTAAGATCTGTCCTGGCTACAAATCCGAACGAGGATCATCCCGAATTGAATAAACTAACGGAGAAAGTTCGCGATTTGCCCAAGATTAAAGCTTACATTGAAAAGCGACCTAAAACTGAATTTTAAATAAACCCTTTGTAACACGCGAGTAATTAATTGTAAGTAATGCAGCGAAAAAATCTATAATAAACTATTAGGAGAAATTCAAATTGACCTTGATCTTTGGCTTTTTCACAATCAACTTATTTGACTCTCATATTATAATATAATATTTAAGATATCTAAAATTTTTAGTAAAGTAAATCTAAGAATCTTAAATATTTACCGCTGAAAACAGGAAAAATTTAAGCTATATGTATACATATATATATATTATATGTGTATACATATATATGTATATATTTATATTACTTACATTACTCAAGATCTTATTGGCTTTGATCTTTGACTCCTTTATGTCAATTAATTCGATTCATACTTTGTCTCGACGAAAGGTTTTTAATTACCTGCTTTACAAAAACAGAATTTTAAAAAAATTTTAAATATCCAGCTCTAATTTACTAAACAACAATACAAAAAAGATAGGTCAATAAAGAGTGTGTAATTTTAGATCACAATTTTAAAATAATTAATAAATTATTCTAAAATTAAATAAAAATATGTTGAGAAGGGCTACAAGCTATTATAAAATTGTGATCTGAAATTACATACTCTTTATTGACCTATTTTTTTTTTAGAATTTAAAATAATTAAATACCTATTTTGAACAATCTTACAGATGGACAATCAAACGAACGAATGACCAGACTATGAAATTGTAAAGTTTGCTACGCTGCACTACTTAATAAAACAATTTATAATTTTAGATTAGATTTATTTTTTTGACTTATTACATGTGTTGCGACATTATTCGTCACTAATTACTCTACTTTAAAGCTACCTTTTATAAAAGAATTGCTTATATATTACATCCGAATAGCTTCATTAATTTCTTCTACAAAATTTAATAATATTTAATATTATTACGTACCAAAGAGAAATAAAAATAAAATAAAATCTTTTGTGCTCAATAAAAGTATGTACTACTTGCTTCTTATATTTCTTCCCTTCTTACTCATTTGTTTGAAAACGTGTATAATTATCAATTAATTATCAATTAATGTATATCACCATATATGATAACATATGATTTCAATAATACTGCATAGTACTGTCGTTTTATTTTATAATATATAAGAGCGCAAAATTATTTCGATATTTTATTACTATGATTGCATTCATACATAAATAATATGTTGTTTAAAATTAAAATCTTAGAAAGAACATTGAACTAAAACGCAGATTATAAATTTTAATTCTTAATAGTCAATATAATATAAACGTTTCGGTCTATATCAGAACATCATTAAATTATATATAAATAATATAAATAAAAATAATAATATAAAAAATCTATTTTGTATATATAAATATTTATATTTATCGTTATTTTTATTTCATAAAAGTATATGCAATAAAAAATTAGTTTATTATTGCAATAACAGATTAGACAGAATAATTAATTTGTATATAATTTCATTTGTAACTGTATGTAATTTTTAACTAGATAACAAAATATTACGAAAATAGTTTTGATGAAACTATACATCCTTGAACAGTTAGATAAGAAGTATTGCTTTATCACAATAATATAATAATTTAGTTATATTTCAGCGAGCTCAACATAATAGTGTTACATCGAGTAAGTAGATAAGTCAAAAGTAATAATAGAATTACGATTTCCTGGTAATACTAATTTTTTGATTAAATAGATACACTTATAAATTAATATTTCTTAAAAGTATTATAACAAAATAAATATAAAATGTTCAGATAGAAGATAATACGTAAAAAGATAATACATGAATCTAAAATAAAAGTTTACTGCCGCCAATTATCGGTCTTGCAACGCAACTCTAATAATCTGAAAAATTCCTCCTCTCGGTGTGCAGAATAAGATAGGCTTCTACTATAATGCCTTACTGATGAGTCCAGTGGAAGCCGAGACGAAACGCCAAAATCGCGTGATATTCTTCGCAATATATTAAAATAAATTATCAGAGAAATTTAGATTTTTAATTGTAATTTGACTCTTACTTCGCTCTTTTTAATGTTATTGATTATTGTTAATTAAAGAGAACTGAAGTACTAATTAAAGTTACCAATGTGATATTTGATGTGATTACTGTGAATATATTATATATATAATTTGTCAATAATAATATTATACGACATCGGTGTTTAGTGATTTATAGTATTTATACCATGGTCTTAGTATCCTCGTTTACTGTCATAAAACAAGCTAATCTTTATATTTTGAATTTATTTTTATGTCTATACTATTTTTAGACTATGTCGATGTACAAGTTAACGTACTTTAAGGATGGAGCCGTTGGAGAACCATCCAGATACTTGTTAAGTTATTGCGGTATTGAATTCGAAGATATTAGACTTACTAATGAAGAGTGGCCGAAGCATAAACCAGGTATGTTTTCTATCGTAAATATATTCTAGAAAGAAATACCATTTAGTAATAATAATTTAACAGCAAACATATTTTCGTATTTGCAAATTGTAGATATGCCCATGGGTCAACTGCCAATTTTAAAAATAGACGATAAGATATACCATCAATCCAGAGCTATCGCTCGCTTTATTGCTAAGAAGGGTAATTTATACGGGTCCAACGAGTTCGAAGCTATGGAGATTGATGCCACAGTTGATTCTATGGAGGATATAAGACGAGGTAAAAATATGTCGGTGATCAGCTGAAGAATGACCACCTAATAATTAATTAATTGAAAACGGGCACACAACTTTTCAATACTTTCACACTGGCGGCAGATTAATTATTACGACACAATATATGCTTGTATAAACGGAGAAATTCAATGTTGTTGTTACAAGATATCCATACAGGGTCTTACAATCGGCCAAGTATTTTAATCAGTTATTTTAGTTCGCCAGTGATAATCCAGTGCTGGCTGACAGAAATTTGGCTGTCATTTGTTAGCTATTCATTTACCAGTGATAACCCAGTATTATCAGAACTTTTGTCTTCATTTGATAGTCGGACTAAGTATTGATTTTGTTGTAACTGCTAGCGATCCTACATGAGATAAGGTGTCGTAAAAGAACGGAAATTATTTAGAATTCACAATTTGTGCATTTCCTGAATGATTGTTGTATTTTATCGCTATTGCTCTAATGCTTTTCAAGCTCTTCTCACAGTAATATACCGCAGATCGATGATTCTTTGACTTTAATTCAGATTTATTTTTGTAGTTATGGGCGAATACTACTGGGAACAAGACCCCATTTTCAAAGCAAATTTAAAGAAGATCGCCTTCCAAAAATTGCTCTTCTACCTTGACAAATTCGAAGCTCAAGTTAAGAATAATGGCGGATATTTCGTCAATAGCAAAGTAATGATCGATTATTATCGATTATGTCGAACTATTATAATGATGCTTATTTTGTTAATTTTACCTTGCAAAAGTCTAAAGACACATTTTTGTTATCTTAGCTGTCGTGGCCGGATTTCATGTGGGCTGCATATTCTGAACGTCTAAGCTTTATTCTGACTAGAGATGTGAATCAGGATCATCCAGAATTGAAGAAACTAATAGAGAAGATTCGCGCTTTGCCCAAGGTTAAAGCTTACATTGAAAAGCGACCCAAAATTTAATAGTACGTAAAATTTATAACTTTGTACTTTTTGTTCTTGCCATATGTTATTAATGTCATTCTTTATTAAGTCTTTTAGATCAAAATGTTTTGTGTAGTAAAAATCTAGCGTGTATTAAGTTAGTTTCTCCGTAACTTAACATTACATTTTAACATTTCTATATACATATAACAAACAAAAAAGTTATATTTTCTTAATTAATAAAACTGTCTGCTTATTGGTGAGAATTTGTTATTGTTTATCTCTTTTTAGAATAATGTTTTATTATTTCTTAGGGTTGAGAGACTGAAATAAAGTTTTCTCTACAATTAAGGATTTTTTATATAAAGTTCTTGAAATGACAAAGGTTTATAATGTGAGTATATTTGCTACTTTAAAAGCACTCTTCTGGAAAGGACGATTGTTACATGTGTTTATTTAATCAATATATACATACGTATTGTACAGTTCTGTTGTGTATACAAATGGATTCATTGTTTATTTATTCTTTCAAAAGAAAAACATTGATCATATATATGTATAAAAATAAATGCTAAAATTCATTTTCAAAGTTGCACATATATGTACGATAATTATTTACATCGACAATATCAATAATAAACATCGTAATTATATTTTTGGATATTTGTAGTAACAGAGATATTTTTCAATGCAATTTTATTAACGGTGTGCTTCGAAAAAATATTACACTTCGCACGCGCGCGCGAATAACTTTGTATTTTTTAAAAATATCTTTTACTATAATTATAATTGATAAACAAGAGTAAACATAAAAAAAATTATTGTAAAAGGTGCTAAAGAAATTATATATATGATTTTGCAGTTACATACTTTTCGTTGAGAACGTTAAAGTAATTTGTGCAAGGCCACCACTCACATATAAAGCGTCCATGTGTAAACAAAATTTTGCTGTCCTTAATATTTTTATTTACCAATCTTTTAAATAAGTTATTTTTCAAATTAAATTTTTTAATATCTTTAGAAAAAGCGCAATACTTTTCGTTCTAATTGCAAGATATTTTAACTTTTTCCTGAGGCGAAAATCTGGAAAAAGAGTGACAATTTTTATACCACTGAAGCTGATGGAGCAATTTTTCACTTTTCATATTTTCGCCCTAGGGAGTGTTACATGATCGATATTTTAGTGTTAATATTAGCTTGGTATAGTTTTGTATGTATTGAAGGATTTTAGTTTTATCGGGAAATAAACAACCAATAAAAGAGAGATTCAGATTTTATAATAGTTTCTCTTTTTCAAAACAAAATAAATTTAACAGAAGCAAGCATACGCAATTAATGTTATAGAAATGGAGAATTGATAACAATTAAAATTAATTTAGCAGTTGTTATTGCGCCTTTGTGCAGTGTACATCTATTATATTTGCAGCAGTTCCGATTTTACACAAGTTCTTTATCTTGAGATAAATAAGTTGCGCAGGCTGCATACGTTGTGTACGACTGCACGAGTCTTTGCGATAACATTAAAGCCATTGTGCAATCTGTTTTATCACAAAATATATAAGTATCAGCGACGGATAGGAAATAAAAAGCTAGCTTATGTATTTACATGCCGGTCTTGACAGAACGTTCTCTTTGATTACCTCTATAATGACGTTCTTATTAATGAGAATCTTATTAACGAAAATATCATAACGTTTACTATAATATATATATTCTTAGGAACGCTGAAATTGCATCTGCAAATTCTCTCTCGCGTTTGCAGAGAAGACTAGCTTTATTAACAGCCGTGCTATAAACAGAGAAGTATAATATTCGTATACATACGCACTTTAGATATTAAACATCCACGCATGCTTTACATCCTGTGTCCATGTTAAAATTTCCAGCTGGGATCTTTGTATGAAGTATAAACACGCATAAGCGTTCCTTTTAGATTCACAAACCACAAGTAATGACTTTGATGTCATTTATTTACATTATCTTTAATTTCCACATATTTTGCATATTTTCATATGATAGTAATGATTGGATCGGTTTCTCCTCTTGCAATAACTCTGTGTGATAGTTTCTCATCTCTGATAGTCAAGTTCCGCTGATTCATCCCTATAATGCAACTATGCATCGTTTAGTACACAACTAAATCTGTGTTGCATCAAAATTTGCCTCGATTGTGGCCTCTTCTTGGATCAGAACTTTGTACAAACCTGCGGTTTCCCAACCAAAGAGTATTATTTGATTTGAGCTCGGCGTTTAATTCGAGAGACGGCATTCTCCTGGGATAAATGGACGTCAAGTCACGAGTTCGAAGTTTAATTCACCCATATAAGGCGACGACTCCGTTCCTGTGAACTCGGTCTCGTCGAAGTCCTGAAGACTGGAGTTACTAATTGTATTGGTGCTTTCAATGCTTGGATGACTGTGAAATCGTGGTCGCATTGCAATGACGTTTTCCGATTTTAGTTTCAACGGGCTGTCCGATAAATTTTTTCGATGCTGCGCAAAGAATCCTTTTGTACCAAAGCCCAGTCTTTCCGTGAAGATTCCTGCTAGAAATAGTGGTAGGAAATTTTTTCTTAATCTGTCGGATTTATATGAATAAAAGTTAAGAAGTATTAATAAAAAAAAAGAGTAAAAATATCAAAAATCAATTCTTATTGGACCGCTAAATTATGAGACAATGTCGTAGCGGTCTAAGCTGGACCGTGGGTGCTTCTAAATAATTACGTGTAAATTTGCGAGAGTTTGCTTATTAATTTCAAAATGATAAGCTTGCGTTTCAAGAGCAGTGTTTTTATACTTATTTGAAGTTTTTAATATGTATGCATTACATCATATTTTTTTAAGATACGTATTTTGATAAAATAAGATTAAATAAAAGTATTCTAAATATTATCTATATATTCGCGAGATAATATTTTACGCAAACGTAATTATGTATGTATAACGCATTATATAGATGTGTCTCTTTCGAAAAAAGTTGTCCAATAATTAATTCAGTAAATTTAAGAAACTTCATGCCATTGATTAGTACAAGATTAATTAATATAGTGGAGGGCATAAATAGAGACGCTACCTAAAGTGACTGCTTTTGGTGTTCTGTGGATTCTCAATAGACACTCGTTCGTGTTATTGTTACCCTCATTGTTCAAACCTTGCTTGCTTAACGTCGTCATCATAGTAAGTTGGCTACAATCGGAGTCCCTGGACACTCTTCTGGTATAATCTCGGCAGCCTACAGTTTCTTTAATAGGCCGTCCCTCTCGCTCGTTCTGCGATTTTACTAATCCATTCGGCTCGCAAAAATTCATGTTCGCCAGTGCGATATGCGTTAATCGTTGCTGTTCGTCGCTGATGGATATCGAAGGCGAGTGTTGAGCATCGTCGAATCGATGTCTTATTGACCTCTGATACCGTGACAAGCTGCTATAAGTCGGCTGTCGACGGATGACTTTGTGAGACGAGAACTTCCTGATGCAATACTTGGGCAGCATCGACTGGAAGAAAAGATAAAAAGTAAAATTACAAAAAATTTTTAATTCTTCTAATTTTATTCTGACCGTATAACGGATGTTTAATAATAATGTCCGAAAAAAACAAAATTTATAGTAATAGAATCTATGTTATAATAATTCATTGTACAAAATATGGGGGATATAAGAAATTTTAAAAAATATTAAAAATAATGAAAAGTAATTATATTTAATATCAAGTATCTATATTAATTATATTTGATAAAATATTTTTTAATTACTATATAAAATTTATTATTTTATTTCTTGCAAATATATAATAAGTATTTAATTATAAACCAGTTCATGCAGAAATTGCCAGTGGGAAATAAAGCTATGAAGAATGATTAAAGTTCTCAGAGGCGACTCACCTTGAAAGCCTCTCTGAACTTGTTAGACATGATATTGTAGAGGAGCGGATTCACTGTGGTAGATAAATAGTAGAACACTCCCGACACGTATGTGAGCGTAGTGTAGACTATAACCACGGTAGCTTCCGGTTCAGATGAGCTGCTCTGAGCGTACACAGCCAACAGCCTTTGAGCGTGAAACGGCGCCCAGCAGATGAAAAAGGCCACCACCACCGCAACTGTAAAGACAATAATGACGTCCTGTTCAGTTAAATACTAGTGAGAAGCAGAACAAAACGATTTTACTGATTCTTCATGTAAGAGATAAAATATAAAGCGAAATATTATAATTTTTATAAAATAAAAAAATTATCGTAATTTTAATTAAAATAGCATATATTTTAATTAAAATATTTAAAAAATATTTTTTTCCAATTTAGATTACAACAATTAATAATACAAGTAAAATATGTGCGCTTTATTGTCATTAATTTCAAAATTGTAAATAATTTTGTAGAATATTTATAAGAAATTAGCTCTTTTCAATAATGAGATGCGAACAAATCCACTTCGACTCACGATTCCCGTAATGTATCGAGGAAAATATACAGACAAGTAACATCGCAGAGACCATTTGCCTTCATTCAGTGCTTCTTCAAGTCACCTCTTTCGCGATTTCATTACTCTGTAATGAAACTTACCAAGAAAATGAACTTTTATTACATTGCACTATCCATACTGTTGGAGCATTTGACAACAATTTTCAAGAGATAAGACAATTTAACTTTAGAAATTAGGAAAATCGAAACATCGATTCTAACTTGATTTTTTCACGAAATATCATATTATATACTTCAAGGGTTTTGGTAAAAAACATATTTTAAAGATGCTTTATACAGTTTAAAACATGTTTAATCAATGTTTTTAATATATTTTAAATATGTTTTTTATAATATTATTACTTAAAGCGTATTTAAAGCATTAAAAACATGTTTTAAAAAAACATAATGTTTTACTATTAAAAAAAAATATTAGTCTTTGCCAACCCTGATTACTTTTATGTATATCTGAGAAACAAAAACGAAGAGGATCTAAACTTTAATCTTGAAAAAATGACTGTGCAATTTCACAGCCATATCCTTGAAGAAGGTTTTTAAAAAGACTTTAATAAAGGCTTTACGGGAAATGACTGGGATGTACAAAAAAAAGCGTGAGCGATCACAAGCGTGAATACGTAAACGTTAAAGAGGCTAAATTCGCTGTGCGAATATTTTTTATTTTATTAAAACTAAATTTGGAAAAGGATAGTAAAAATGTACATAAAAAGAGCAGCTTTACCCTTTGCCCGTTCGTCCTCGGCAGAGCGTCAGCTTTTACCATTTGCTTAAATGTTAAAAGCTGAAGGATCTGACGGCTGTCGAAAAAGCGAATGAGTTATGTAGGACGAAATAATATTTCCAGATCTAACACAAACTTCTACGTAGCAATGGAAAAGCTTAGAAAGTTGTGCATTAAGAAAATATTTGCCAATTTTCGAGATTCAGCAAATATACAGAAATAACTCAAATGTAATCGTTTTAAAAACACTTGCTAATTTTATATAAAATTATTTTTTTTAAATAAAATTTTATAAAAGAACACACTATTTAAGAAAATCTTTACTCTTTTTTTTCTTATAAAACAGTTGCAATATTTTAATTGTAAGAAAAAATTATTAGCAAACAAAAAACTCAGAAATAAATAATTGATATAATAATACCGTTCTAATTAATTGACGAATTTTGCTTTTTTCTAAGTTACGCTAAAATACAACAAAAATAGAATGTTAAGAATTGTTTAGAACGTTTGCCAAACTCTGGAAAATGTTTATAACATTATATATGACATTTTCAAACTTTAAAACTTTCATGAAAAAGCTTCTATCTTTAATAGCTTTGGAGAGACGTTTCGTAATTTCTGAAAAACATCGCGATAACTAACTCTTTCACAATTTGTGGGATACTGCGACCGTAGATACGCGTGCTTGTCGTGAGACTGAAAACACAAATGAATCATCGATGCGTTAATTCGAAACATCGTTCATCACAGTTTGTCGCAATGGTGGAAAACGTTCGATGATACGGAAATAGGTAGGGATGTGTATTTTTCTTTTTTTTTTTTGCAAATAGGAAACCAATTTTATTGCCACGCGTACTGTCGACAAACGAGATTCGCCCACACGATCAATGGTATGAAGGTCGACATTTTTATTTCGATTATTGCTTCGGCCGAGACATCTAGCCGTCGAGAACGAAATAAGTGATCCCGCTGTGATCGTAAATTCAGGTGAATTATATCGGAACAATTTTTCGTTTTCAGATTCGCGCAAGAATCTAGTCGTCATTCAGATTTGCACGTTTTAACGTTTTAACGAGGATACTATGCAGAGTCAATGTAAAAATGTGTCAATGTGACATCCGTTATCAAATCTTTTATTGCTTTCTGTGTCAATTTGATAAACGTGTATTTACATTTAAATATTTTTGTTATTGTTATGTATCGTAAATGTTACATATACATATATATATATATATATAAACATTATACCTATATGTATAGCTTCAAATGTATAACTTCATAGAAAATTATTATGAAAAAATGTCGAGCGGTAATTATGATTTTTAAAAGCTCGCAATTGTTAATAAAAGCTCTGTTTGATTAATAAAACTTTTATTTTATTATACACGTGCGCGGAAGCTTGCGGCTTTAAATGTACATACATGCACGTGATCTCTATTATATAAATGTCAGTAAATGCGCCACGTGCAAACAGAGTTGTCTGATTATCATCGACAATTCACGATCGTATCTCCATTCTCAACAGAAGAGTGATTTCAAACATAATCAATATATATATATCTTAATTTATAATTATTTGTATATATTAGAATTAAATTATTATAAATATCTAAAAATAAGCATAAATTAAATTTAAAATTAATTTAATTATTATTAAAATGGATATAGATAGATGTTATAAATTAATTTTTTATTTTAATTATATGTGAAAATTTAATTATTAATATCAAATTTATGTATATTTTTAGAGATATATATAATTTTATGTACGTGTGTATTTGTAATAAATTGTTAATTATATTTCTTAATGAAAAATATCTCAAGAAGATTCAAAAACTCAAAATAAACATTAATGTCTCTCCACGATTTATGAAGAATAGTGAATTCCCCTACACGATTTGTTTTGTATTGAATAAACGATTTGATAACATCTAGGATCCATTATAACTACGCACTTAAATATAGACATAACTTTTCGAAACCAATCAAATATATCTTCTACTTATTTTCATCTTTGTGAGAAGTGGATTTGATTTCTGTCCTCGATCGGCGCGAGAGAAAAGGAAACGTAGATGTTCGTGTAGAAGATATAACAAACTTTTCCTTTCTTTCAAAAATACGCATTATCTTTTCGACAGATTTGATAAAGAAAAAAAGAATTCTTTATTGTGTTAAAAAAAAAATGATATGATTTATCGAAATACGCTTGAATGTTCCTTTTCAAGCTAGATTGATAAATCAATACATATAAATAGCAAATGAGAATCAAACAGACAATCATTACCGATTCCGATAATCCTTTGCGATATCCAGAAATGAAAAGTTAGAGCTGAAACGTTTAGATATTTTTAGTACGTTAACCTTCTGTTGTTATCGAGATTATCTGAGTAACGTAACGCTTACTACGCTTACTACGTAATGTTTGAGATAGGATGTATGGAATCTAGAGCGCTATTAGAATTCTTACACATTGAGGGACTGTAAGAATACCATAGAGGGACTGTAAAAATACTAATCGTATTTTCGAAGTAAAAAACGTGTTTTACCATACGCTTTTTTTTCATTAAGCTCGAGATCGACACATTTCATGTTTTGATAAGAGAAACCTAAATAAAGCTTTTTGCCATGTCCGATTTGTGTTACTCATAGTTACAGCTATTTTCGATGTTATGTTTGAATGGTACTCTTGCATAAGAGTTAGACTTACATAAGAACAAAGAATTAGACCAATTCTCAGGACTGAGCATGTATTTGAAATACTTTTATTTGAAAAACAGTATTTTTAACTCAATTGTATATTTTAGCGTAGCACATAAAAATATTTTATATTTCATTATTTCGAAACAAAAGACTGAAAGTAAAGTTAAGATTGTCAATCAATCTTATTATTTAAATTATTAAAAAATATAAAATACTTTTAATCTTCCAATTTAAAATAAAAAATACAAAATATTTTTATAAGCTCCGCTGCAATACAAAATACAATTGTATTGTATTTCTGGTTCTCTAGTATATTGTATACAATACCTGCAAAAGTATTGACAGAACTGGGCATGTGTTTGAAATAATTTTATTTTAAACACAGTATTTGTATTACAATTACATATAGCAAATACTGTTGCCAGTTTCTCGCTCAATTATTAGACCTTAGATATATAATCGTTTATATCTTCATTGACGTAATAATTATCGTATTAGTTTATTTCTGAGGCTGAGATTCTAAAATAACTTCCCCTTGACTCATGATACACAACAAAGCTTAAGAAATAAAGATATAACGGGAGTTTACAACGTTTTTGATACGTACTTACGCGAGCAATAAATTGCAACCCGGAAGATCTACAAACTGCCACAATAATGCGGAGTAAATTTGGATGCGACCTACGATCACGTGAAAGCTTCGGTACTTTGGGGGATTACTCGAGTCTTACGTAAGCCGATTGGTCGGAAAATAGACTGGAATCGCTCCGGTTAGCGCGAGCAAAAGTATGCAACCAGTCGTTCATCAAAATGCTCCTGTAGACACATACATAACAATGACAGTCGCGTCTTGCGTTTGCCTAGCCATGTATCATATGTACGTTAAGGATTTTAATGTACTATGTAAATATAACTGCAGAGTCCGACTGAAGTTTCAGTTTCTGTTAAAGATCGAAGTTTCGATTAGGTTTCGATTTCCATCGAAATTACAAGGGTATTTTAAAGGTGATGTAGTCAAAATTGATCGAGTTGTAATGAGTACTTCTTACAATCTTAAAAACTTATTCACTGAAATATTTATTTTCCAATGATTTCTCAAAGACTCGTTTAAAAAAGATTTTTATTTTATATCTTGTGTAATTTTATTATTTGTGTGATATAATGTATAATTTTGCTACTAAGAATGTATACAATTACTACA